TTGCATTTGTAATGTTAAGCTTCAGTTTTTGTTGTTTTTTCCAAACGAAAGGGTAAAAGAAGTAACTCAAAAAGTACTGGAAGTGGTTGTGAGATTAAAATGGACATCCAGCATCCTTTTTATAATCTGCTGTTAGTTGGGTCTCCCGTAAACAGATCCATAGGGCCATAGTTCTAAGGGCGAAACAGTTCTTAACATCTGTGAAGACTCAGTCCTGTTGCATTCTAAATGAGAAAACAGTAATGAATTTAGTCAGAAATGTGGAATAGATAAATAACCAAATTACATGTATTTTAGCAAAGAATTTATGCAGTTGTGATTTACCTTTAGTTCATGAATATTAGGTCAGGTCAGCTATTTATTGTGCAAAGCATAACATGGACTTAATACCGTATCTCAATGCTTTTATTATTTTGCTCTCATTTAAGTATTACCATGTATCTGCATCTAGTTTAACAGGGAGACATACAAGCAGAGTTAGTGTTCGATGAACTAAAAGTCCTAGTAGTCAAAAAGATTCTTAACATTTGTCCACAGCCAACTGCATTTAATTGAAATACAGAACACTCATCTTCTAAGACTGTATACTGCTCTTCTACGGGCAAATAAAAGCTCAGATACTTAGCTATCCTGCTACCGATGTTATTGCTGGGGAAATTGTTTAATGACAGTGATCATGAAATATGGTCAGTGATAGATGTACAATCTAGAAATAAACACCAAACATACTTATCGCTATCTTATAATGTATGACAGCAACAGTACCAAAAGCACTTTTTTCCTATTTTTAATCAGACTGATTTGAATCAGTATACTCATCAGAAACAGGCAACTCTACTTACTAGGCTGATCTGTTTCGTTACAGACTTCAAGCACTATACTTAAGTATACCATAATTCTTTCAACTAAACTGAATTATACGACAACCAAGAATACTAAACTAAGCAAGTGTCATAGTTATTGTTTCATTTGCACAGGCATATTGCTTAAAGTATTTAAATGGACATAATTAAGACGATAAAACAAAAACACGAAATATAGGCCAATTGAACTTACCGAACAGAAGACAAAGAATATATATATTGCTTTCCGACTGACGACAACAAGCAGTTGTTCATAAAAACATAGATTATAGTACAATAAACCTTTCTACAGTAAAATCATGCACTGACAGTCTATCTGGAAACAATCAACTATGTGAATAAACTCACTATGACTTGAGATATCATCCCAGTATGCAATGGACGTGCAGTGTAACGCAGTCGAACGTGGCGAATAAAAATATAAAAAAAGATCAAAATTAGCTATATAATCTAGTTATTTAATTAAAAATACATTATGAAATGTCAAAATCTGTGGTTACTTAAAAAGTTATCTCTCGTGTCGTCCTGTTTTCTGATCTGTGATCATGCCCTCGTTTCGAATTAATGTCTTGATGATCTAGATGAATATTATATAAAGCATTATAACCCGTATCAAAAATACGTTATTTTTATAGATGCTATATTTCAAACAAATAATGTAGAGATCTCTTGGCCGTAGACGAGGCACTTACATAGCGTCTTCTTAAATTTTGGAGTGAACTATTGAGACAGTTCGTGGGATACCCAACAGGAATTGGTGAGTCATAGTGAAAAGAGTTTTGGACGTAACACTTATATACCACTAGATATGGGTGTAGATGAATGTGATATCGAAAAATACGGTGAGGAGTAATAAAAGTAAACTACTACAACAAAAACTGAAATTATTTAGTCGAATAATAAATGTTATATTTAAAATTATTATTTCCGACGTTTTCGATGTATCATGAATTGAGCTGTTAAAATTACTACAATCTTCACAAGCCTCATTCTGATCATAATCATGTGTTCAGTGGTGACTGGCTCCAAGATGATTCAAAGGTGTTCTAGTGAAAAACTGTGACTAGTAGAGTTCGATCCGTGTCGGGTAGAGTCAGGTATCTATCGTCAAAAATGGATAAATGGTTGCTCAGCCATTCGTGGATCGATGGAAGTTAGACAATAACACCATTGGATGCCATCTCAGTGGTCTACAGATTAAGCGCTCGCGCGCGAGAATGAAGGACCTGGTTTCGAACCTCGCGAGTGCACTAGCAGACGCACACTGCTGGGGAGTCTCATACTAGGACGAAACGGCGGTCCAGTACTTCCAGGTTTTCACTGGTGGTCTGGCTCTCTTCGATACATGAGGCATCCAAATACATGTGGCATCTTCATTGGTGAGCCTATTCTATTCTTAAACGCAGAGATCTGGCCGATCGACAAAAGTTAAACCAACTCCTTAATAGCATCGACCTGCAACATGGTTCTGCAACAGACATGTTGCAACGAATGAGAAAGGTTATAGGCCAAAGAACTTTCGATGATGATCTATTTAAACACCTTTTATTGTCAAAACTTCCTCAACAGGTGCAGGCTGTGCTTGTATCGTTCCACAACAACGCCTTGGACGAGCTAGCTGCATCTGCCTACCGCATTTTAGAAATCACAAAATCCATAATAGAAAAGCTTCAAACGACCCAGAATGACATAACAGAGTTATGTCATACACTTACACGTTATCTTAAATTTCGTAACGACTGTAGACTGTCACACACATCACGAACGAGCACTTTAGGTAGGCTATCTCTCTCTACGTCAAGAGAAACTGATAACCCCGACTGGTGCTGTTATCATAACCAGTATGGAAAGTCCCCTAGAAATTTCAGAAGACCCTGCAATTTTCCCAACTCAAAATCGACCGACACGAAAAACAATTCGGAGAACTTTCAAGCCGGTACGCGTTAACGGCAACCGTAGCCGGCAAACATAGCCGTCTGTTATACGTCACAGATGTTATAACGAAAGTTCGCTACCTCGTCGATACTGGCGCAGAAGTTAGCGTTCTCCCAGCGAATTCTAACGACCAGCTCCACGAATCGGTTTTAAATCTACAGGTGGCAAACGGAAAGCCTATCGCTACATACAGTAAAAGGTACGTTTACCTGAGCGTGGGTTTACGCAAACCCATACATTGGATTTTCGTTGTTGCAGATGTTTCTATATCAACCATTGATATAGACCTTCTACAACACTATAGTTTACTCATCGATACGCGCAAACGGAGGCTAGTAGACGGAAACACTAATTTATTTGTCTGCGTAACTTCTTCTGGTTGCAGATTTTCTCCAGTCACAATTAAGCACACGATGGACTCATTCTACCAACCACTACTCGATAAGTATTCTGGGATATACCAATCACAACCGAACTTACCTTGTGTAACAACCAATGTTACACATCACATCTCTAAAGCGCGACGACTAGCCCCCGAAAAGCTAAGGTTGGCAAAAAAAGAGTTCGACCATATGACAAATTTAGGAATCATACGACCGTCAAATAACCTATATGCATCTCCGTTGCACGTGGTCCCTAAAAAGAACAGCAATGATTGGCGTCCAACTGGTGACTATCGACGATTAAATGCAAAAGCCATTTCCAATCGCTACCTGTTGCCTCACATTCATGATTTGACAGCTACCTTGAAAGGTACAACTGTCTTTCCGGAAATCAACTTGTTTAAAGCGTACAGCCAAATCCCTATGGCTACTGACGATATTCTGAAAACAGCTATCATAACTCCCTTCGGACCCTACGAATTTTTGCGAATTCTTTTCGGTCTAAGAAACGCTGCACAAACCTTTCAAAGGTTTATAGACAATGTTTGTCGAGTTATCAACTTCGTACATGCGTATGTTGATGACCAATAATAAGTCCGGACAAAGAACCGCAACTCCAACATCTGGATATTGTTTTCGATCGACTACAAAAACATGACATTACTGTAAACATTCAGAAATGCCAAATCGGAAGTGACTCATTAGACTTCCTAGGATACACTATAGATGCGCAAGACATTCGACTCCTTAGAACCAAAGTGGCGGCCATTCTGGATTACCCAGAACCGACCACCGTCAAGCAATTACGTTCAAAAACCTTGTAAGTTTTCATAGACAGTTCATGCCTAAGTGAGCGTCACTTATGGAACCGCTAACCGCTAACCGCTAACCAAATGTAAAATCCATCAATCTAGACGACACAGTGAGAAAAGCAATCTCCACAATTAAGGAACTTGTCGCTAAAGCTACTAAGTTTGCACATCAGGACACTGAAGCACCCATTAGTATTTCAGTAGTGAGGGTGTATCGTAGGGTTAGCGAAATGTCACTAAGCCCTAACCAAATCATTCGGCGGTTAGGTCACTGAATATCGAACCGACCATCGGCTCTTTGTCAAGGTCAAGTATAATCAGTCACTTAATCGTACACCATGAACTGGCCCATGCGGTGGTGATCTTACGTTCATTTAAATATCCATATTTGTGTGTAACAGATAATCTTACTCACCGTACGTAGGGATTATGTTATATCGCGTTTAAATAATCGAAATCAGAACAACCGTATGCTGTTTGAAATCGTGAGTACACAAAGTCGCATGATGGAAATTTGGAAAATTACGGAAATTTTGTATACTATTCAACAGCCGCGTCATCAGCGTTGATTTGAATTCATTCATGATCTGGTGTACGAAATTCATTTCAGTATTAATTACAAAATAGTCAATGGCTCTTGTGAAGTAACAAGTATTGATTCACTGTTTATTTCCTATTGTCTAGATGACGTAACTAAATGAAATTGTGTCATACGCCTGAACAAGCAGTTTCATCTTAAAAATCTCTACATCTTGGAACTTTTAATCCAGCACAATAAAACTCTGCTATTAAAAGTAAATCATTCCTTCAGCGATTTTTTAATACAATATGTTACATTTCTGAAGCTTAACTTCACATAAATATCTGCATTTACGTACGTCTCATAAAAATCATGTGCGAATCAAACACACAACAATAGATGAAACAATTTTTTAATTTTGCCAAGGCAGGGTCTTTATTATTTTCTAACTAACAAGACATTAGATGAGTAATTTGTTTAAACACACTAACGATTTCATCTTATTGACGGGTGATTTTTAAAAGGGCGTGGATGACCTAGGTTTTTGCATCTTGTTTTTTGTATTTCGGTATGTTGACTTGAGAAGTCGTTATGTATCTCACATCCAGTTAAACTTATATTGTTCACTCGTAAATCTTTCTGATGCATTTATAGTTCATTCACTAGAGCCTTTTGGATCCCTATGTAATGGTTATGGTGCTTGAAAAAAAATGTCGCTTAAGGATATTGGGTCACAGTATAATATACTGACGACCCTAGGCGTATTATCAGCCCATAGAGAAAATTTCCTAGTCATCACACAATTGAGAGTTCAAAGCAATAAAGAAATAATAAAAAATCAGCTGTAATCGTAATAAATAACTGTCGTAAAGTAAATTATCCCTCTTAATAAAGTAAGAATGAAAAATTTACATGAACGAATACATAATAAAATTTTAATCAAGGTTTGTCACATCTTAAAGTTTTCGTCACCATTCGATATCAGTCATAATGCAGTAAGTTTAAGGTTAGGATGAAGAGTTAAGCTGGAGTTTTGAGTTGAATTTTCTAATTGGTATGAGCGTTTTCAACACGAACTGACAGCAGCTATAATACAATGTTTTCCTATCTTTCTGTTTACGAGCCTGACAAACGTAGGGCTGATATTTATAGTGATAGTAAGAAAGGGAGAATATCTAGATTCACTAAACTCTTGATTACTTAATTATCGTCATAATGTACTTATACACAATTTTTCTCAAAATTAAGCATGTCATGTAATTTAGCTTAATCGCCACCTATACTCTACTTTGTCGTTAACTAGTAGATATTTACATTGTTTTCAAATTTTAAGAACCGAATTCGTTGATTTTCATTTGGTTCATAATGACGCGTTATCACTCCACTTAGAACTTTGCGCAAAATAAGTGGATGCGATCTTAATTCCGATTATTAACTAAAGGTCGTCAGCATATTTTACTTCTGCCGGATATTATTTTCCACCTTTATGTTTTCTTCTGGTGAACCACACATCCATCTTTTCAAACGATGTCACTTCTTGATTTCGGGAGCTGTTGTGCGACTCAATAATTCTATACATTTTCATGAGTGGTTGTATCATTTTCACATTGTTTGGAGATGTTTGCCTGAAACTAGTGCAAAAGACTACTTTTTATGATAAATAACTGTAACCAGACCAAGAAATTATTTTGGTCTGCGAACTTTTTGGCTGTTTATCTGATCCACATTATGTACAAGAAAGTTGAAGGAAATTAAAATTATGTTACAGGTTTCGACGTAGTTAGGCTGACGAAGTTTGCTAAAAATATGAAGGTAACTCTCGTTTGACTCACTGTGCAAGTTCAGCAAATCAGGGATATACACGTGAGTAATGTTTATTATGTATTTGGAAGTTACTGTCGTTTACTTAAAACACATTACTCAGCTTTAGTGCCTGAAGTTTCTTTCTATACAGTACTTCCTACCAACTCTAAAACAGTTTTCACGAGTTAAACTTCAACATCTATAAAAAGGGTAGTGTAGCGAAATCGGATTAGTACGATCTTAATCATACTTGATAAATTTTCTCTAAACGTTTTTCTGAAACACAAACAAGTGTTTTTAAACTAAGAACAAAGTTACGATTCTTAGTTTATAGTACACTACGAATCAGATCAGCAGCCAATAGGTTCATATAATGAAGTCATGTATTGTTCTGGCCACATTCTATCTAACGTGGCTCTTTGCTTGCCGAAATTGCGTTTTTAAGTACTCAGTTACCGAAAATGACCAGTACATGCCCCGGATACATCTAGCAATGCAGACTGGTCGCCTTGTCTGCCAATTCGCCATATCTTTGGTGCACTGTACTGTCTTACGTTTTTACTGCTCACTTACTAGATTGATATGCAATACAACTACGTAGGAGACCCATGAAGTTAAATGCTCTGTAATTAATTGAAATAGTGGGTTAGTGTCGTGAAATTTCACTCTACGTACATAGAAAATTCTGTATGAGTGGGGAACGTGCGGAATGTGATTTTGAAGTGGTACCCATACTTAATAGTCAAAAAAGTAATCTTAAGGTCAAGTAATATAACTCTGTGCCTGATGTTGATTGTTTCTTGATGACACGTTGGGCTCAGTAACTTGGATACACAAATTTATTATTGTTTACATCTACTGAAGAAGCGTAGGAAACTAAAGGGTTGTATGTTCTGTTGTTTCACACTGAGTACAAAAATATCCGTGTTACTACCCATAATTTGTCATAATTTCGTAGTTGTCATTCATAAACAGTGCACGACCTTGAACAATTATCTAGCGCATTAATGTTTTATTCATAAGCTGCTTCTAACTAATCAGTGTCTTTCTTAGTGCTTGATACTGTCGAAATCTTATTAATCAAGTCCATCAGCATCCTGTTTAAAACTGCAGGCTTTTAACCCTAAGATCTGTGAGTTAATAAGAAGCAAACTTTCAAGATTAGGTAACAAATACAATTTATTGTTGTTAGGTTCATCTTAGCCAAGCGATCAACCATCATGTAACTATATTACCGGTGATCTCTTGCCTTCTCTGTTTCCATTTCAATATCCTTACTTCATGTTGACTAGATTTTAGTGTGAGATTGCTTGAGACAATGTAACATTGTATATCGTTCTATGTTTCCTCATGTTCAGCGTTTTTTAAGCGATCTTTTCTGCTAGATGTCGACAATATGAGTCGAAAAGTATCTTTGTTCTAACTTGCAGATGAAGTTTAGATTAATATGGAATACTTTAAGAATATTTAACTTTTCTTGGTATGCATTTCTGGGAAACGTTCTTTGTATAATGTTTTTGTTTGTATAGTGACAACCTTTTAAATTTTATAATCAGTGTTGTAATGCTTATCAAACGTTTCATGTTTTGCTAGCTCTTGAAACCTGTTCTTTGCTTTGGACTCGAATGCATCTATATATTGGTTAAATCATGAATTATGAAAATACCCCAAAATATGAAGATCAATGGGCAAACTTTATACAGTCATTAGACGTTGACCCTGATAAAGCCAAGGGTATTGAACAGCTGCCCGATGATCAGAAACGTCAATTATTGGAAAATTATGTAAACTCCTGTGTATTGTTTTATTGAAATCATACTTTAGGCTGTAAAAAATCCAAAGTTTTCCGCTTTTCATTATGTTAGCCTGATTAAAGGCTTGCGTGTCGGGCGGTCAACATTGACAAAGGTTTGATTATTTTCGCTAACGATTTTTTTTAGAATCCACGTAAAGGTGATGCACAGCAAGCGAAAGAAATTCTCTTAGCTACAGAAATATCATTGCGAACAAACAATGTAGCGTAAGTTTCTAGAAGTGGTGTTGTATACATTCACTTTTAGTTGGGTTTATGATTTTCTCGATCAAGAGGGTTTGGAAGCATTAGTGAATTATGTATCTAGAGTAATACACATGGTTATGAGGTAAGCTAGAATTTTAATTCATTTTTAAATCTATAACTAAACAGTTTCAAAAGGTTTAGAAAATGTTCTATTTTGTCGTAAGTTAAATAATGCATGGGTTTTTATGTGTGCTAGTTATGTCGTAGACTAAGAATTTTCATTTACTTACACCACTTCAAACAGAGTCATTTTAAATGTGCGCTTTTTTGTTGATGAAATGATATATGTTGTTAACTAATAGTCTACTATTATAAATACATGAGTATGGAGTGATTTCCGTCGTTTGATTTGTTTATGTAAAGTTAGAATGCTGATATTTTTAATTGTCTGTTGGATTATTGAAATTATTTGATGTAATTTATCTGGCCTAGGCCGTCATATGGGATGATTCGAATGTGGTTCGTTCTCATTGATAACGATGAAATTCAGGACACGTTTAGTCTCACCTAACTAATATGCCTGCTCACATTTCCGTATATATTACAATCTTTACATAAATTCGAATTTAGCACCAACAACTTCAAGTACATGTGTTGTTATCCATAAAACGATTAAAGTATCATGATAAATGTAGGTATTAGCTCTTAATGTCAGTGAGAATACTGGTATTTTATAAAATATAGGTAGATCTAACATTATTTCATAATATGAAAAGATGCATATTCTATATTTCGTCAATATTCGCCATACAAAGAGTAGGTTGATAGTTTCTCTTCTTCAGAACATCTTGAGAACGCATGGCTTTTTATCATATAATTAATATACTTTGATTATAAGTTTGATGAACAATAACGTTTCATCGCTTTTCATAGCTTGATTAATGTTTCTGATTTATTTATAAACAAAAATGGAGTTTTAATCATCCCTTTTTTTTCTATTCTGTCTTTTCGTAAACTGAGTCGATCGATTGTTTGCATGCCATTTTAATGACTCCAATTTGAAAATATGCTTGTTCTAGTTAACTAGCATATATTCTCACCTATTTGTGCTAACATCATTTCTATTAATTTATTTTAGAACTGATTTCCGCCCTACCGTGGATGCCATTCAGCAACAACGTTCTGCTCTTCTAGGTTCATTTAGCTCGGATCAAGCAGTTTCTATAACTGATCTGTGCGATAATATTAATGAAAGTGATAAAGTTGGATCTGGTTTATGGTGCTCTAGTTTAAGGAAGAAAAAACATGATCGCATTTCTTTTTCGCCTATTCATGTCCGACATATATCTGATTCAATCAGGGATAGTCTTCATCAAGGTGTCAGATGCTTTCGTGCATTACTTAATAATCAGGTTTGTTATTATACAACATAATTTTCTTGATGTGGGATTTTAACTAATAGGCTAAAAAAAGGTTTTAGGGTTCGAGTTGTTGTTTACTACAGCAGTATTTTCATTGTGTTTTTTTTTCATTATAATTCATTTATACATTCCCTTATTTCATCAACATTCAACATTACTTGACTAAGTTTTACATTTAGTCTCTCAAACCAGTCAGATGTCACTGATAATACACTTAGTTAACTTTGAAAAAAGTGACTTCTTGTAAGACCAATGAAATTATGTTAATGATTTTTGACCAGAGTGTTATTGGAAAGCGGTGTTCATAATTTTTACCCACATAAACAAATGGAGCATCCCTGTTCATCTTTCTATAATGTTTTTTTCAAATATTCATTTACTTTCGTATTGACTCATTTTGATAGCCATCTCTCTTCAGAGACAAGTATTAGTCTTGTCTTTGCGTTAAAATTTAATGTACGCTCCTTTCTTGGAACAATATCAAGAAATTGTAAATCATTGTTAAACTGTGTTTTTTAAAGCAGATACTATACTTATACACACTATTTCTCCCCAGATACATTTGTTAGGTAATATATTCTGTTTGCGTTGTCTTCGCTATTTATATTCTTGGTAGTCAACCAATTCTTCCGACGGATTGAACCAGTTTGCATTCTGGGATGTAAATCGTACATTTCTAGCCATTGTATATCACCGTAATTACTGTTTACAATAAATTACTCCTACTGTGTAAATGTGTATTCGTCTTATTTTTCTAGCGTGGTTGTTCAATGGTATTTGAGCATCCTCATGCCGTGAATGTGATTGCTCTGTGTCTCCTGCATCCAAGTTACCAGTAAGTTTCTTTTAATGACTTTAAAAAATATTAAATGATCATTCGTTAGGTCAAAATCATTTGCAAATTTAATTTGTTGATTTGCATCAAATGTCTGCTTATTTCATTAGGATAAAAGTTTAGTTTATAAATGCTCGTTTAAGTTTAAGAAAATTTTTTACTACTGTCACCATTGCAGTTGATCTAAACTACATCACTCAGATCTCATGCTTGATAAGAATTCGACGAGAACAATTAAGCTTTTAGTTATATTTCTCAATGTTATACGATGATACCTGTGTTCACTCTGGGTAATAGTGTCCATTTGTTTATGCGAACATGTCCGACGATTCTTCCAACAACTGAAACTGGTTTATGATATATTTCAACTATTCTGTTATCGATGTTTATGCAGACGTCTGTCACGCATTTCCACACTGATTTAAAAAGAAACATATAATCAGTGCTATCAGAATAGTCCAATGATAATGTCTCTGACTGTGGTACTTTTGCATACTGATTCGATTCCTATGGAAGTGTCAGTTCTCTCGAAATTGCGAATGCTCTCCGCTTATGAGTGTTAGTTAACACAGAACGTAAGTTTAGAGATTCTCGATCAACGTTTCTACTCCCTTAACATCAGAAATAGCTGATTGCCATGCCTTTCCCCTCAGGTTAGTGACTACACTGGGACCTGTTCAACTGGATTTCAATCAAAGATAAGTAATAAACAACATGGCATTGTTTACTACTGATTGATCAATTAGTGATAATCGCAAAGCTTGCTATGTTGTAAATGCCAGATGACATCATTACTGGAACTGTAAGTGAAGTCCCTGACTGTACAATAATTTATGAAAGCAATGATATTCTTTCTAATTCTATGGATTTCTTACAGTATTTGTATATTTATGTTAGATGACAGTTTTGGTGGGGCTTATTTGACATTAGCTTTAAAAAGTTTTTATCGTACCAGTCATCACTTTGCTAATAATTAGGCAACATAAATTCTCTCTAAAATCGGTTTCACCACTGCTTGTTAGCTCTAAAGCTTGTTGCTGCTTAAATGGCAGAGTATTTGTCTTTTCTTTTCCCTTTTTTTAAAATCATACCGAGCTGTTGGTCTCAAATCTTCAAACAAAATCGCCGATAATGTATGAGAGTTAACTTATAGTTGGTCTTCACCTATAATTCTTGTATTAACGATAATAATGGTAGGCTTCCATAGACACTGATTTTTATTCACGGGTTTTATTTTTATTTTTTTCAATCTAATTGTTATTATCGTTTTGTTTTTCTTTTCATTCTAAGAACAAAAACCTTAGTACTTGAACTTTTAACAGTTGTCTGCTTAATCACTGGTGGACATGAACGTGTATTAAATGCATTTGATAATTTTAAAAAAGAAGTTGGGGAGTCTACACGTTTTGAATATTTAATACATTATTTTTTCACACATGAATCTGAATCTCCAGATTATAATATGGATTTTATGGTAAGTGTAATTACTTTTATCTCAATTTATTAAATTTCTATTGAATATTATGATTTATTGAGATTGATCATTGAACTACAAAATAAAAATGTGCTAAAATAGTGTTTTAAAATAGTTTCGAGGATAGTTTTATATATTTTTAATAAACGAGTTATTTAATTTGGATTAGTGTTTAATAATATTTGTGTGTTATTATTGTTCGGTATCTTTGCATTAGTCTGATGTCACGAATTGGAAAGTTCGATTGTAGTCTAAGAACATTGTAAACAATGCGTGTACTTATGTAATTTTCTAAAAATTCTAGGGTCAGTTGTCACTTTTAATGACACACAATAACAGGATTGTCAGTTATATTTTTACTTCTTTCTATATTGTGCAGCCTTCGTATATTAACTATCACCGCAAACTGACTACATTTAGTTTCATGGAATTGTGGATGGTTCTTACCGATGGGAATACCAAATATACTTATTACGTAAACCATAGTTTTTACAAATATCGAGTTTATGTTTAACTTTATGGTAGTGAATTATCGTTTTTGAAATATCATAAAACATTCTTATTAAGAGTAATCTAACGGTTATTGGAAGGTAATGTTATATTCAGTGTCATCTTTTATGGGTTTCTGGGCAATAATATTTTACTGATATCTTTTGAATCTCTAGTTGTTTGCTTTTTTACTAGTATTTTTGGATCATTTATCTCTATTTAGTTCACTTCAACATATCTTGTTTTCTGTTTTTTACTCACATATAAACTATTAACAGTCTATGAACAGAAAGGAAAGTTACTTACTTACTTACGCCTGTTACTCCTCGTGAAGGGTTATAGGCCGATCACCAGCATTCTCCATCTAAACCTGTCCTGGGCAATCCTTTCTAGCTCCTTCCAGTTGTTATTCATCCTTTCCATATCTGCTTCTATTTCCCGACATAATGTTTTCATTGGCCTTCCGCTTTTCCGCTTCCCTTCAGGGTTCCAAGTTAGGGCTTGCCTCGTGATGCAGTTTGACGATTTGCGTAGTGTATGTCCTATCCATTTCCATCGTCTCTTCCTAATTTCCTCTTCAGCTGGAGCTCGTTTGTTCTCTCCCAAAGAAGGCTATTTCTGATGGTATCCGGCCAATGGATGTTGAGTATCTTGCGAAGACAGCTATTTATAAATACTTGTACCTTCTTGATGGTGGTTGTTGTAGTTCTCCAAGTTTCAGCTCCATACAGTAGAACTGCCTTGACGTTGGTATTGAAGATTCTCACTTTGATATTAGTTGAAAGTTGTTTTGAGTTCCATATGTTCTTCAATTGTAGGAATGCTGTCCTTGCTTTGCCGATCCTCGCCTTTACGTCTGCATCTGAACCTCCTTGTTCATCGATGATGCTTTCCAGGTATGTGAAGGATTCTACATCTTCCAGAGTTTTGCTATCAAGAGTGATTGGATTGCTGTTCTCCGCTTTGAATTTGAGGACCTCGGTTTTCTTTTTGTGTATGCTGAGGCCTACTGATGCAGAGACTGCTGCTACACTGGCTGTCTTCATCTGCATCTGTTCGTGTGTATGCGATAGGAGGGCTAGGTCATCTGCCAATTAAACGGCACACAAACGAGATATCGGAAAGCTTAATGTGTTATTAAATTTCTTAATAGAAAACAGAAAACGAGATATGTTGAAGTGAACTAAATAAAAATAAATGATTCAAAAGTAATAGTAAAAAAACAACTGGAGATTCGAAAAATATGATTGCCCAGAAACCCATAAAAGATGACACTGAATATAACATTATCTTCCAATAACCGTTAGATTACTCTTAATAAGAATTTTTATGATATTTCAAAAACGATAATTCACTACCATAAAGTTAAACATAAACTCGATATTTGTAAAAACTATGGTTAACGTAATAAGTATATTCGGCATTCTCATCGGTATACTATTATCATAGAACTAATTCTTTACTTTGATTTAGTGAAATTTGTTAATGTGACCTAATTCTTATAATTCCTTTTTAGTTCGTGGTAAACCATCAACTGCTATAGACTTCATTGATTTTTCAGTAGATTACTGACAATGTAACGCTTTTTAAGTTCTATAAATATCTAATATTTCTTGAAATCTAGTTATGTTATGCATTATGCATTGATATTTATTATTTTATTTATTATATTATATTATTTGCTCATTTATCCATTCATTATTTAGCACAGTTTTATTCATTGTTACAAATTAATTTATGCTGTAAATATAAACCACGAGATTCGAACTTAGTACTTTAAAGGGTAAGCGCCTACCTCAAGATTTAGAAGTCCTGGATCTGATTTTTGGTAAAGTCGTAGATGCTCACTTCTGAGGAGTCTCATTATAGGCCTAAGCAATTGTCTAGTGCTTCATGGTTTTCAATCGTTGTTTAACTATGGTCAGTCCGTGATATAGACTGTAAAGTATAAATAGTTGGGTTTCACTTCAATAACTCATCATTATGTCGCCTAAAATGATGGTAGGTTTCACCCTTTATGTACAAGTTATACCATTTGTGACAGCTAAAAGTTTCTGACTAAAATAAAATAACTGTTTATTAGCGCTTCCTGTTTCTCAGTTATTTACTGCTTTATGTTAATCCATAACAAAGAATGTCCTCTTAAAACAGTTTGTGTTACCCTTTGTAAAGTATAGAAGTGCTTTTATCTAAAGTTTTTCAAACTATGAAGTTGTTTCTTTAAGTTTATCAATTATCTTTCTCATTATCATTTCGACTCTTGAGAATTGTCAATAATCTCTTGAAGAATTCTCTAAAAACCAAGAAAAGTCTGAATTACTGATTACGCTTTATCTAATTTGTCTTTACAATTACTAAATTGTGTTACTGATTTTTATACCTTTTCTCGGTGCTTTTAAGGTCTCAAGGTCATCCCACTAATACCTTTGTTTTTTTGTAAATGATCTGACCCTTAAAACGAAGCTTCTACTTTTTACCATCCTCTGTTTTCTGTTAGAGGTTAAATAGTAGAGGAATTTTGGGGACTAAGAGGCGGCTACAAAATTAGTGTCTAAAATATTTAGACCATATGACTTATCAACATCTTAATTTCCTGCAAGTTATTTATTTTCACACTTAAATCATCGGAGTAATCAAACAGTAGCTCATGCCTTATTCAGTCCAAATTACCAATATCACCCCTAATGAAACAAAACAATCTTAAATTCGAAATGTGTGTGGGCGCGTGTACGTGATTTCGTGTTTTTGTATGTTTCTGAGGTTTATAAATATGACTCAGACCAATTACAGTAAATACTTTTTAGCATATTGAAAAGAAAAAAACTACCTTTTTTAAAAATTGTAATCGCATAAATTTTTATTATGAATTTTCTTTTTTGGGTTATTCTTTTTGGGCGGATAATTTATTACTCACCACATAAAAGTGTTCAATCATTATTGTCTAATTAATATTCTACTTATCTAGTATTAGACAAATTATTCATTGGTGCAACTCAGATTGCATTCTGAACAATTCGCACTTAATCCAAACTAAAATATGAAGTACACATTAATTACATAAAAGTATTTTAGTAGTAAATCTTTCATCTTATAGTTTACTCATATATTTCCTTTTTTTATCTCCCTCGAGTAATTTCTGATCACAGTAATTATATTGCATAAGCTTTCTAATTAGTTTTGTTCATAGTAACTGAAGTTAATTTAGCGACTCAATATTTCCTACGTTTCACAAACTTTTTATCATTATTTTCATTGTAATAATGACCGTATGGTGTAGTTGTTTTTTTGTAAGGAGGTCAATAATGAACCTTTCATTTAACAGTCTAATTCACTAAACAGTAAGGCTATATCAAAAGGTTCATTCACAATGATCAAAGTATTCCCATATTTTTTTCTTAGGATTTTAGAGCCCACGAACATGGTTAGTTTGAAATCAGGATATTCCAACTATCAAAATATCTTTCGTATTCATTGACATCCAATTTCTTATTGCTTATTGTTTGAAAATATGTTATCCATGTGAAGGGGGGCGAGAATTCTCAGAAAGACATTAGAAACACATGAACATAGCATAGCATTTTTAGGAAGAAGCGGGACCCAGTTGTACTTTGACATTTATCATTAGCTTGTTGTATCATGAATTTTAAATAAACAAAACTCATAGTTATCTGTGTAAATAACAAAACTGAGTTTCCGATAATTTTCACATTATGATTCATTGTGTTAGTATCTTCCCATCTCATATTTAAATTGTTTACATTTAGCTAATTCAATATTTGTAGATATTATTTTATGACTTTGATAATGTTTCACTTGTGTCTAACGTTTCTTATAAATTTCAAACATTTTTGAATAATTTAACAGAAATCCATTCGTCGAAATTCCTTTTGTCACACTGACAATATTGTAGAGTGATGGATTTGTGATTAAATCACTTGACATTCGATTAACATATTACAAGTTCGAACTCTTTTTTCTTTCTAAATGGAATAGAACAGCCAGTTAGATTCATTAGTCTTCACATAATCACTTAATAAAGTTCGAGTTCGTAAATGTATTTTAAATAAATTAGTTCCTTTACATATAAAATTATATTTCGAAAATATTGTTCCTTATTTCATCGCAATTATTTTGATTTAATAATTATTTCTTTCCTTTTTATTTTTCAGGTATCGTGTATGCAATTTTTCAATATAGTTGTACATTCAACAGATGATATAATGTTAAGAGTATATTTACAAGAAGAATTTAAACATCTTGGATTAGTTAATTATTTATCGGTATGTGTATATTTTTGTGGGTATTTCAACAAAGTTCTGTGAAATTTATTGTTTTATTTTACAAAGACGATTTACACTCACAGTTAAGATTGTTTAACGATAATCTCCTTATTCAATGTTATATGTTCAGTACAGTATGAAATTCTCCACCTACATTAATTTCCTCCTAGTTTTCGTGTGTGCCACTGTACATTATAAGCAATTTTACAATAATGAATGACCTGTATGTTCAAGAGCATAGGTGTTTGGTCATGTCAGTCCTTGTAGCGTGATAATCCTGTAATATATCTATCAAATACGATTTTGTGAAGCTTTCGTACTTTTGTTTGCTTGTATAGATTATAATACACTTGTGTTTCTTTCTACCAGAAGACATAAAATGGGAAAAATGTGAATTGATGTGAAGTTCTAGAATGAATGGATGTTTACAACTAAGTAACCAGAACGATAATATAGCTGATCATTCTCTATCTCTCCCTCTTTTGGGTTTTCGTCAACTGATATCAGTCTGTGATAGAAACGTTTTCGGAAATACATTCTGTGTGAGTGAAATTTAAAAATCAGTATCATTAGCAGAAGTAATGACAGTAACAGTGTTAATATAAAATGTTAGGCATAGATAACCTGACTGGAGAAAAATGAATCCGTGGAACAAATAATTTTATAATATAATTTTAGAAATCAAGAAGAAATGGAAAACGAAGCGTACATGTATCTACCCGAATCTTGATAATTTTATCTCGCTTTACTAGGCCAACTTGAACTAATGCACACATGTGCTAGATTCTCCGTTGCTTATAACCGACTATTTGTACCAATGTAGTTGATATTTTGTCAATGATAAACAGAAAACGACACTTACAAAATCGCGATTGTTTTTTCTTCGTTTAATTACACTTGTAAGCACATATTTCATCCATTACTTGCATTTATAGTTGTGCGAATTAAACGATCTTATACAACGATACATAAAATTAGGGCAACCGCTTTTTCTTAATTCTTTGGTATTTATCTTGGTCTATCTTTAGTAATTGCTTCTCTCCAAGTCTCTTGAGATTCCGTCTTCGTATTTACTTGCGTGTTGGACAGCATAATTAGCAAAAAGTAGCCAAAATTTCAGTGCTGAAAGCTGATTGTCTAGTGAAGTAGTGAGTGACGTTATTGTCAAAATTAGGAACTTCAGCATTATCGATCTGTAAACATTACATTTCTCTATCCTGGTGTTTTAAGTTTTTTACAGACTTTATGCATCTTATAGCTCTTGACCATATGAACTTTCCGAAGTTATTTTTATTCCAAGGTCACGACATTAATTTCTGTTATATAACATGAGGTTATTGGATATTTTTGTAATAATATCCGTTATGCAAAATATAAGGTCATATGTACAGTGAATGGGTCGGGATATTAATATTTTTTGGATATTAGGTTATATTTATTAGCTATGAATATTATAATATTAATGGGAATATTCATAAAATTAATAGTGAATCTGTCAGTGAGGGAATGATTGTGAAAACAGAAAATTCGTACCCATGTGTAATTTGTATCTTACGATATGTTGCTTATCATTAGGATATGAATTTGTTCATCTTACAAATTATTGCTTTCATAATGAAATAATAATTTTAGCTACCTTTTGACTTTCGACCAGTCCATTAGTAACTGTTACCTTCATGATGGGTTTTAACGCCAAAATTATATATCTCGTAACCTGTAAGGCTCTACACTGTGATTAAATTCACCGAACTTTGATAGATAACTCATATGACATGTTAACATTAGTCTCTCTACTGAGTGTTAAGTAAGTTGGTTTAAACAACTGAGAAGTTCAATCACGATCTAAATAACTCAGTGATGTGTAGTCTATAACTGTCACACTGCATGATACTAGCTAAAATCCCAAGATAAATCATGGGATTATTGATTTCTGATATTTTCTTTCAACTACTTAAAATGCTCTCGTTAGTGTTTTTCTACAATTAACTCGTTTATCATGTGATAAATTGACATTTTATCCATCTTTTTGTTACAGAGAATATACAATCAATCCGGTGATCGTCTTCTACGTCAAATAGAAGCATATAATGATAATGAAGTGGATGTTGCAGTATTATTAGAAGATTCACAAATGCGTGATGTGTTACAACAAGAGAAAGAACAAGCAGAATCAGATCTGATCATTTTACAAACTCGTACAGCAACAATCCAAGCAGAATATGAAAATAAATTATTGGAGCTTCAACAGAAAATACAAGCTTTGGAAATAAAAAATCAAGATTTAGAGGTATATATATATATATATATATATATATATATATATATATATATATATTAATTGAACACTGTTTCTAAATATTGAGAATATTGAAATAAGTTATAAGTTTTCGTGTTTAAAAGTTACTTAACATTCGTAAACACTGACAAATAAGTCATAATATACGATGCCAAATATATTGTTTCAAAAATGTTATTCTGTACTTGTCGTATTTCCTTTCATACTGATAGTTACAAGTGATCTTTAGACGTTCTGAAAATGTAAGAATATTTTATCAGGTTCTGCACTTTTCATCTGACTGTTTGAGTTAAATGATCAGAAATGTTTATTGATAGTCTTATAAAGTTGTCAGCTTACACATTTTATATCAATAATGTATAATATATATGAAATTGTATTATGAAACAGTAGAAGTGTATTTTAGAATATTCCATGAATTGAGATCAGTAATAATTGAGTGCTTAGTACTCTCTCTATGTTCTATCGTTTACTAGTAACGCAGTTGTAAAATCCGTTTGTACATATTTCTTTGTAACTATGTTTAGTGAAAATTTTATTTCGTAATTTAAATATTGTCAAATGTTTCTCAATTGTTTTTTGATTAAATTCAAATCTCTACATACCTTAGTAACATTTTACTTATTACAGACAAATTTATTCAATTTATTGTTTAATTATTATTCTGTTCACTTATATGATATCTTGTTCCAAATAAATAAGTTAACCAACTAACTAATACGCATAAACGTCTAAAAATGGTCTGTCAGGGGTTTTTTCATCCTGAATTTCAGTTGTTTTTTTTAAGAAAAAATCCATTTCACCGATTAACTAGTTTTTGTTTGTATATACAAAACATCAACTAGTTTCTTGCCTTTTTGAAAAAATATTCATTGTAGCTTTTCAAATGTACTGTGCATAGATTCAACTTAATTCAATATATTCTCGCCATTTATATATATTAGTGATTAGTTAGTAGTGTTTATTTCCATATCTTTCCCAACTAAATAATGGATTTATTGACTTTAACCTCTTTGTGATCGACTGTCTAATCTAAATTGGTGTCTCTGCTTTCTCTCTCTTCCTTCTTTGCGTTTTATTCTGTTTTCCATTTCATTTATTTGGTTTTTATTTGAAATTGTTGTTTGTTTATTTTTAAAAGTCTTATACTGTATGACATGGTGTAATTGTTTCTATTCCATAATGCTGTATAACACATTGATTATAACAGCATATGTAATAATTAGTCAATGAAATTGTTATTGGTGCATATATGTCAATTAGAACGTTAAACACTACTGTTAGAGAAGGAATTGATTGGATGATTTATGATTATGATTGTTCAAAACACATGGATTTGTTTATCTGAAAATACTTGGTGTGAGGCTGTATGTTATGAATCATCAATTATTCTTTGTTTTTGTCTTCTCTTTCCTCTTACTTTCCCTTCATCTTTTCCTTCAGTTTTTGTACTTCATGTGGACAAGTTACTGTCTAGTTTTCTAAAAAAATTTAAGCTTTAGAAATAATGGGAAATGGACTAAGTATAACCTGGTTATTCGATTATAATTTTTAGTAGATTAGTCGTCTGTCTGTTCTACTGTCTTAAGATTATATTAACTACTGTTAACGTCTTCGTTTCTCGTAATTTATATCTACTATGAAGTAATCATATTCCTTAATCTCGACTGTTATTCTGAACCGGTGTTTCTCAGCTTAGAAATGTGGAATTATGGTTCCAGGTGTCATTTAGGAGTTTAGTGTTTTATTGGGCTTAACTAGTCTACTTACATGAGACTTTGTACCAACACCCCAAATGTTTGTAATAAGCGAAATCACAACACCTGAACAAAAGGTTTGGTTTAACTTCAGTCAGCTTATCCCACGTGTGATAAGTACAGTAAGTTTTAATCCCTTATTAGTAAAGTCTGCAACTTGAGTAAAATGTGGTTACAAGTTTCTACTATTATTGTATTCTCAGAATCTTGTGGGTAACTTTGATTTTAATCGTGAAATACTAGGTACTTAACTACGCCTGTTACCCCCAATGGAGCATAGGCCGCCGACCGGATACCGACTCAGCGGTCTAAAGGTTAAGCGTTCACGTGCGAGACCTAAGATCCTGGATTCGAGTTTTATATGTGAAGTTGTGGATGGGCACTTCTAAGGAGTCCGTTCTAGGACGAAACGGCCGTCCGATGCTTCTAGGTTCTCAACATTGGTCTAACTTCAATCGGCTCATGATTCCAAAAAAATTTAACAATCCATCGAGCAGCATCGTATTTGTTATATGGAGTGATAGGATCATCTCATACACTTTGCACATTCAGTTTATATTACCCTTAAACATACGTTCACGCATTCCAGTGTATTAATTTCACAAACCAGTTCAAAAGTTTAGACTACTTCATCGTTCTAAGTTTTTGCTTTTGTTTAATTTAACCAATTCCTAATTCGTTGATTCGCTTTTGTAATCAATATATATTTTTACAGTTATTATTATTACCTATACATTATCACTGTAGAATCAGCGCACTAATCAAGATGGTCAACTGTCTACACTACGTGCTCAATTATTGGATAAAGATAAAAGCACAACAGAACGTGAGCGTAATTTGCAACAACGACTACGTGAGCTAGAAGATACTTTGAATACAGTTAAAAATTCACAGTCGAAATCACAAATACAAGTGAATGGCATAGTTGGTAACTCTACCGAATCGATAAACACAACAACTGGTGTTATTACTGCTGCTGCTAGTGCTCCACCACCACCTCCTCCCCCTCCGCCACCACCCCCGCCACCCCCACCACCATCTGCAGGTGGTATACCACCACCACCTCCTCCTCCTCCACCGGGAATGGGTGCAATGGTGCCTGGTGCAGAAGGCTAGTTCTGTTTTGTTTATCGTTATATAATTCCTAATTTTTAAAAATATTGATGTTTCATTGTTCGTTGTACTACACTATTTTTCCCATTAATAAATTTGCATAATTAGTGTGGAAGAATTTGTAAAGATTGTAGTATTTTCGAAGCATAAATCGAAAACCGATCTTGGCTAGACCACTAAATACCTTGAGGTACTAGACAGTCGTTTCGTCTTAATATGGGACTCTTCACCAGTCCTCAACAACGACCACATACACGGTAATCGAACCCAAGCTCTTCGGTTTCGTGTTCAAATACCTGACCTCCAGACCACTGAACTGGCAATCAACGGTATTACTGTCTAACTTCAACCTGTTCACGATATTGTGCAACTTTCATCCATTGTCTGTGATGGATAACTGTTTCACACCTGACAAGGATTGAATCACGCTGGTCACACTAGAACTGCAGGAAATGTATCTAGAAGCTAGTCCCTAGCGAACACGGTAGTCTAGGCGTTCGTGCGCAAGACCGATGGTCCTGAGTTCGATTTCCGCCTACAGTGTCGTGGATGCACACTGCCAAGTACTCTGATACTAGGACGAAACGGCTGTCTAATTCTTCCATGTATTGATTGATGGTCCAGCTAAAACCAGATCGTGATTCAAATTTGTATCAAGCAAAAGCAATGAACTTGGCTTAATAATATGAATTCACTTTTGCGGAGTCGCTTCAGCTATTTACGTCTGTTAGTCAGCTATAACGTAGGATCAGGCACATATATGCAAATTTACAACATAAAAATAATAGTACTCATTTTTTGTGAAACAAGACTGTGTGCATACTTTTTATCATAATATCAGAAATTTATTCTTAATTATTTATTTAAACGCAAACATTGGTACAAGGAGGCATCAAATATATATGCGCCACACTTCGTCATTTGATTTGTATGACGGCTGGAATATTACCTGGGCTCCAAAACTAAAGCAGGTGGTTTTCTTTGGGGACCACACCACGAGCCCCCAAATGCCCTGGTACGGCCGAGAGTGGGGAGAGTCCACTCCCCCTCTCGAAATGCTCTCACATGGCCACGCGTATATAGACTCTGCCAGGGAAGTCCTACTCACTGCCTTCTCGTGGCGGGGGTGTTGTTTACGAAAATGAGTGGACGGAAAGCGAATGTCCGGCACTTTAACTGGATTCCAAACCAATGGTGCACATGGGCTCCAGTATCCTGCGGGAACAAATGGCATATGAACCAATTGTTGGTCACCGGCTTCCATAGGACTGCATCTCCTTACGATGCTCCACTGCCTTGTGGATCAGACCCTCAGGTCGAAGGCTCCGGGTGTGGCCCCCTAAGAAAACCACCTGCTTCGGTTTGGGCACCCGGGCAGTATCACAGCCCTCACACATATCGAATGAGATTTGTGTGGCGCATATGTATTTAGTGCCTCTTTGTACCAATATCTATGTGTTGAAATAAATAATCTACAAAGGTTGTAGTGCAACTTTGGGAGATGCAGTCCCATGGTAGCCAGTGACCAATAATATATTCATGCGGCACAGAGGGATTAGTTTAACTAATATAATATCTAAAATACTAGCCTCAATAATAATCAGACGCCTAACTAAGACTCGTGAACTGCAAACACGAGAAAACCAAGCTGGCTTCAGACCTGGTCGTGGCTGCATCGACCACATATTCACCATTCGTCAGGTTCTAGAACACAGGCATACTTATCGGCGTCCGACGATGGTGGTCTTTCTTGACTTAAAAGCAGCATTTGACTCGGTAGACCGCGAGATTCTGTGGCAGTGTCTGTCATTGAAAGGCGTACCCCAGAAGTACATAAACCTTGTAAAGGCTCTTTACTCGAACACTACTAGTCGAGTGAGAGCTTATGGCGAACTGTCATCTAGTTTTGCAACCTCAAGTGGTGTCCGTCAAGGATGTCCACCTTCCCCATTTTTGTTTAACTTCATCATAGATCTACTGATGGAAATAACTTTCTCGTCGACTGAGTTCTCGGGTATTGATCTCCATCCAGGAGGTCCACTTATCGACTTAGAATACGCAGATGACATAGTCCTGTTTGGTGAAGACGCTGACAAAATGCAGAGTCTTCTGGTAGCACTGAGCAACAATGCCAGGATGTTTGGAATGCGCTTCTCTCCCTCTAAATGCAAGTTGTTGCTTCAGGACTGGTCTGCGTTAACACCTGAACTAAGGATAGGGAGCGAAGTAGTCGAACGCGTTGACAACTTCACTTATCTTGGAAGTCTGATCAGCCCTAATGGGTTGGCATCGGACGAAATCTCAGCACGGATTCGAAAAGCTCGTTTGGCTTTTGCCAACTTACGTCACCTATGGCGAAGGCGAGATATCCGTCTATCAATAAAAGGACGAGTATACTGCGCGGCAGTCCGTTCTGTTTTAATTTACGGCAGTGAAACATGGCCATTAAGAGTAGAAGACACTCGTAAGCTATTAGTATTTGACCACAGATGCCTAAGAAATATTGCTGGCGTCTGCTGGGATAACCGGGTAAGTAATAGTGAGGTTAGACGCAGGGTATTAGGAAATGATGGTAAATCAGTTGATGAGGTTATGAATCTTCATCGACTGAGATGGTTGGGCCACGTGTTACGTATGCCTGAACACTGATTACCACGACGTGCAATGCTATCCGGTATTGGAAATGGTTGGAAGAAAGTTAGGGGCGGCCAAACCAAAACGTGGCATCAGTGCTTGAAGTCACAAACTTCTAGTCTGAGCCATGTTGGTAGATGCCGACTACTTGGTTGGGGTCAGCGTGACTATCGTAGCCAATGGTTGGAGACTCTTGGTACCATGGCTCAGAATCGATCACAATGGCGTCGGTGTATACATTCTCTGTCTTCCCTGAAACTAAGAGATTAAAATCGCTTCATATTTTTCTTTCTTCTTGTACTATATCTCTATATGCAATCTTTCTCTTATATATTACCACCTTTTACCTAACCAATGTTATGAATCCGGTGTTCATCTTGTTGTGCTGATGCGGTATGGCAACCTGGACGGATGCACATATGTGCCTGGTCCTACGTTGTAGCTGACTGACTGACTCATACGCCATTTGTTCCCTCAGCGTCCTGGAACCCATGTGCACCATTGGTTTGGAATCACGGTTTTCCAACTCTCCTATGTAGCTCCTCCAAAACCCCCCTTAGAAAGTATTTTTATCAGTAAAGGTTATTAGACTTGTAAAAAAATTATAAAATATGCTTTTATGGTCGGATATCTATATGTCGGGAAGTGTGAATATTCTTGAAAAAAACTCAAGGATACATGTCGCTAAAAGCTTAATGATAAAAGGTACATAACGTCAACTAAGTAAAATGGTTTTTTATAAGACTGAAATAGTTGAAGCTCAGGTAGAATCTACGAAAAAAACCAAATTTGTAATTATCATCACAAAATAAGGTTTCACGGAACTAATTACAGAAACTGAAGTCGTCAGGACAGTGCAAGAATGAAAACATCATCCTTTTGAATGCATAAATTCAGTTTGAGCCTTTCAGTAACAATGGTCTCGGCAAAATTTAATGTTTCTGAAGTTGTTTATACGATCTTAAAATGTCAACGATTATCTGCTATCAAATAAATGACGAGGGATTGTGCTGCTTATTTGTCGGTATAAGTGGATGGTAAAGCATAAAAGTAGGAGTGATTTATCTGTAATCGAGTTACAGTTATTTTTCATTTTAATAACTAATGAGTTATATCCTGTTTAAAATATATGGCACATGTGTTTCCTTTAACCTTTCATCGTTTTCTGTTTCTTCATTTATTCTTTCATATTGAATATAGGTGTTTCCATACGACCGCCCATACAAACTCGATACAAATTACCATTAGTTAATTGGGTCCTGTTGAAAAATCAACAACTTCGTGGTACAATATTTGTTGGCATGAATGATGAAGCTGTTTTGGATGCATTGGATACTGAAAGATTTGAAAATCTTTTCAAATTGTCTAATCAGTCAGTGAATAATAGTAATAAATCGGGTGTAAATAATCTGATCAATGGATTAGATCAGAAAGACAGTCGAATAAGTAAAAAAGTTGAGAAAAAATCTTTAATGGATTCAAATAGACATCGGTACGTGTTTTTTGTGGTTCATCTGTTTTCATTGTTCATTACCCAGCCTTATTATAATAGATCCATATTATGTTCATTGGTATATTTCTATTCTGTCTTTACTTACTTTCTTCACTGGCGCTCGAGTTCTAATTGTGGGTTTATATCTTATTTAGAATTTATGTATGCTTGAATCAATTTTTCAGTAACCATCTAATTCGTGATATAACAATAATTGTGGTGTGAGCTACTTATATTTAATAATTACCTGCAGTGCGGAATAAACCATGCTACTTAGATTATATTTTTGGAAAAAATACTAATTTCGGTTGTTCATTAAACATTGATCAGCATTATATACAGCTAAAGTAAGTTTGGTAGTTAAATAGTTACAGTATTCAGATTTCAGTCATTGATTTCACAGGTTCAAGTTGCACCACTTCACATACTATAGTCTTTGTAGATAAATAGAATTACTAGCAGCGACACGCGCATACACAGAAAAAACTCACGTTTACTCGTTTATAAAGCTATATTCACTTAATAATGAATCAGAACTCGAAATGGGTGTTTCATGTATAATTTACTCAAATTCGAGTTAGTGACTTTGTCATTGCAAAAATACATACAAAGTAGAATATTACGGATTTCAATCTTTAGTCATGATGTGATGGGTTAATTATAAACAGTTATCGTGTACTCTTATTTATAGGAATAACGTTATGTTAATCAATATTTATGTTTTTTGTGGTGACAGTTATAAACAATATTTGTATTGTATAAATAGCCTTCCCTTTTGTGTAATGATATTCGTCACTCACTATTATTAAAATAAATATGCATGCATAGGTTCAATAGGCAGAATTCAGACAAACCTGTAATTCCGAAACAAGACCATCCTGATAAATAAATGGATAATATTATTAATAAGAAATACTGATAAAAAACAATTTAGTGAACAGGTTCAATCGTAAGAAAACCAGTGTAGGAAAGAACTAATACCAAAGAAATCATCAAGTAAACGAAACTGTGTTTAAGGGAATAAGAGGAAAAGAGGAAGTTTTAAGTTAATAAAGGTGCAGTTATCACGGAATTAAGTACATTATCATTTGTTGATCACTGAGTAGTAAACAGTATCGTTTTTATTTGGGCCTTAAGTGTAGATCAAGTTTTATCTGTGACGATACAATGTAGTCATTAGACTAAGTGAGTAGACATTACTTACTTACTTCTATATTCCTATTACTCCTCATGATGATTTCCTTAACGTGTGTCCTATCCACTTTCAACGTCTTTTTCTGATTTCCTCCTGAGCTGAAAGCTGATTTGTTCTCTCCTATAGTTAACTGTTGCCGATGGTGACCGGCAGACAAGCATTGAGTGTCTTGTGTAGACAACTGTTTATAAATACTTGTACTCTTTTGATGATGGTTGTGGTAGTTCTCCGAAATTCAGTTCCATACAGTAGAACTGTCTTGACATTCGTATTGAAGATTCTGATTTTGATGTTGGCTTGGAGACAGTTGTTTTGTGTTCCATACGTCGTTCAACTGTAGGAATACTGTCCTTGCTTTTCCGATCGTCGCCTTAACATCCACTTCGAATCCTACTAGTTCATCGAAGATGCTTTCCAGATACGTAAAAGATTCCCCATCTTCTCCATGAAGCCTGATTGGGTTTGTGTTTTCTGTATTGTATTTGGAGATCTTACTTTTTCCCTTGCTCATGTTGTTACTCACTGATGCAGGGGCTTCAGCTACACTGGTTGTTCGTTTGTATGGGATAGAAAGACCAGGTCATTTGCAAAGTCCGAGTCATCTAGTTGCATCCAAGCTGTCCATTGTATTCTATGCTTCTTCTGAAATGTGTAGCTGTTCATAATCCAGTCAACCATCAGAAGATAAAGAAAGGTAGAGAGTATGCAGCCTTTTCTGACTCCGATTCTCACTTGAAATGAGTCTATCAGTTGTCCTCCATGCACGATTTTGCACTGTAGTTCATCGTATGAATTCCGGATGATGTTGATGGTTTTGTCAGATATGCTATAGTGTCGAAGAAGGTGTAGTTGCATGGCTTTGAGATAAGTCCTTAGACTTCGCTTGTTATTCACACTGATAACCGTTATTAAGTAAATTACAACGGTGTAGGAATTCAGATGGAGTACGAAGTGGTAACTACAGTTCATTATTGGATAGCACAGATAATAAAGGTGCAACCATACCGAGCAAATTTGAGCATAACGACTAATGCGCGTAAGTAAGTGAATACAAAGGCGGATTCAGTGTCAAATCGAGGCGAAGCGAAGCAGGGCAAAACAACATATATATATATATATATATATATATATATATATATATATATTTCACCGCCAGATGGTTATCTGAAGCTATGTCAGCTCCTCTACTAGTTCTCACATCTTCCATTGTCCTTCTGATTTTTTTAGTGATACGAATATGGTCTATCTGATTCTCTATAGTGTGGTCCGGCGAAACCCGTGTAGCTTTGTTTATGCGTTTGTTGGGGAATATCATGCCGGTTATAATCATTTTGTTGAATGCACATAAATTTACAAGTCTGTCACCATTCTCATTCGTTTCTTCCAGTTAGTCCATATTGTCCCATGATATCTTCATACCTGGTGTTATCTATTCCGACATTGGCGTTTAAGTGTCCGATCAGGATGGTCAGATCTTTTCCTGAGCACTTCACTATAATTGATTGTAGCCTCTCGTAGAACTGATCTTTATTGTTGTTGTTGCTATCGTTGTTCCGAGCATCGTCAAGTTGTATCTTCTCATTCCTGTAGCTATTTGACTGGTTCTTTCAGTCTCCCACATTGCCCGAGCATTCCATATACCTATATTGATGGTTGCACCGGTTGTTAGAAGGGGCATCGGTCTCGTGACTTCCGAATAATCTCGACTTTCACCATGGGACATTATAGTTCTTCTGGAAATAGATCTTCTTAGTCCCAGACGAGAGTTTAAATGGTTTAAATTGTTTATTCCGGTTAATTTTTTTAACAAGGTTGTTTCCTACGGGATGGGGTTTGTGACCACATGCCTAACTCCCATCTTTTACCCGATTTTGGGGCCGATAATAACCCTAGAAAAGCTACAGGTGGATTCATATATATATATATATATATATATATATATATATATATATATATATATATATATATATATATATTATTAAATGGTTATTCAGTTCACTTTGATTTCCAGACTATTATGTAATAATCTAAAAACTTTAATGTATAGATTTGCATTTATTCAAAGTCTTTTTATTTCCTAAAATCTACACTAAGTAGGAAGGCAACTAACTGGTAAACATGTGAGAGCATTTCATGAAGACATTATTGTAACCAAGCCGTGTAGGATAGATGCAAACTACCTTGTTGGTGTCCGCATGATTGGTGTAGCCGATGGTTGTAGACCGTGAATGATATGGCTCAGAATCGGTCTCATTAAGGCAGATACATACACATTTTATTTTCCATTACATCTTGAGTTCTAAAATTATAAAATTATTCGACTCACGAATTGATTACTCTTCGGGTTATATTAATCTATATCTAAAATTTTATGTTATTACTGCTACTGTTGTTATTTTTACCGATCCAACGTTTGTTTTGATAGTTTCATCTCGCTGTACTGATATGGTTTGTCGAGTCAAATCAATGCGCTTATGTTCCAGGTTTTACTTTGCTTAATACTGACTGACTAACTGTTACAAATTTATAAGATATTTACGATATAAACCTTACTACGAAAACCAAATCTCCAAATTTATGGAAGAAAAACGTGTTAAAAGTTTTCAATTTAGATTTTATTAATTTATTCACATTTGATATTAACACATACTACTTTATGTACGTAAACAATCGTTCTAAGTACATACAATATATATTATTAGTAAATATTTGCCTATTTGCTAAAAGGACATTATTCTAGTATAATATTTTAGATAAATAGTACTCCATCGATCTATTATTATTATTATTATTATTATTATTATTATTATTATTATTATTATTTACTCGTATATTTGTACATTGTGATACTAAAATTTAAGTGTCAAATGCATTAATATTACAAACAGGATATATACATAATAAATTATTAATAATAGTTTTACCATCCATTATTTGACCGTAATAAATATTTTCTATGGTTTAGTGAAATTGTATCAAATAAAGTTACAACTGGTTAATCCAGTCAAAAAAACTTTTGAAAAAAATGTTCCTATTTAACTATGTTTATTGAATACCATTGTGCATTACTAGCTTAATGTATCGTAAATAAAATGTATTTCATTTCGGTTTTACAATTTGTAAACTGATGTATCATAAGTTATCTAATTATTGGATAACTGGTTTTGCTGTATTTCATTATGGAACTATGTGATTTTAACAGTTTCGTACTCAACGTTTCATACATTGGATTAAAATGTGAATCTGTTACTACTGATTTTTAATCTTAGAATATGATTGAGGATTTGACTGTCAAGATCCTTCAAACTGAAATAGTTGTTCTAAGTTTTCAAATGCTTCTCTGATGATTTCATTCGTTCCCGTGACTGGTCTGAACACTGAATTTCTCGTAATATTTATTATACAGGTTGACATTGTCAAAATAATGCTGATTGATGCCGAAGTTTTATCAAAACTACACAAATTTCTATCAATCATTTAGTTGATTAGTATTCGATTCATTTTCCAATGAGTATCTCTCAACTCCAGTGGGAGGACTTATCCCTAAAGTTAACTAAATCGATAGCGAAATAGTTGCCTATTAGAGAAAATAACTAGTGGTTGTGCTATTTTATTAATACTTTAAAGTTTTGAGGAAAAAAAGAATTATGTAATTCTGACTTGGTAGTTGACTGTTATTATGTTTGTACGTATATTACCAGTATAAAGTTTTATACGAAAACTCGTTCTCTTTATTCTGTAAAACTAAATGGTTTTATTGATGATTGGAAATATTTGGCACTTAGGGCTATCCTCCTCATCAACAATAAACATGTTACTTGTTGATAGTGTTCCATTTGTTACTAAATGTTTATATGGAAACAATTGAAAACCAGACAAATTTAGCTGGATTCACGAGTCTGTTGCCATTGACAACCACTTCCATCCTACTTTCGTCGTAATTGTAAATTCACGTATTCGAGGTTTGTATACAGTATACAACCGACAGTCTCAGTGACTTAGGATCGCATATATTGGTATGCATTTATACTCTGTTCCATAATGTACACTGAAACTCCTATAATTATTTGTGATATATTTCCATTTATCATTGAATTGTTAGGCAATTAATATCGATTTCTTATTTTGTACTAAAACTTTTGTAATTCAAATTGGTGTTTGAAAAGTTCAGTTGTCTAATCGTTCTCGTAACTAAGGTTTTTTATAATAAGTCATGGAGATAATGTTTACTATCTAAGGTTTAGTATAACGTGAATTTCTCTTTAACAACAATCAATAGCTTTTTTATATGAAAGCTCCTGTATTTCTACGTAATATAAAGTTATTATACCAAGTGTTTATTTTGTTCTCTTGTTGGCTCAGTCATAGTAAATATGAAAGCTGATACTAGTTTATGTCACTATTCGCATCAGTGCATCTTTATTGTCTATTCGACGTTAACATATGTCATAAATTTCACTTCAACGCGTGTAGTTTACTGATATTGTGTAGAATATGGCAATTGTAATCGCTACGTCTTTTGTGTGAACTTTCAAACATGATTAGTCATTGAAAATTGTACATTTGACCGTCCATTGTAAACAGATACGTAATATGTTTAAGTTATTCTTGCATGTAACGTAATCTTGTCTATATAAACTAATGATTATGAAAAAAATATCCGCTGAATTTTGTCTCAATAATATAAATAGTCAACTCAGCGCTTTTTCGTTAGGATGTTGAACATTGATATGTTAGTAAATTATGCTTTATTTTTACACACAATCATCAGTAAAATTCGTGTCATATATTGATCAGTTGTGTTTTTTTTCTTAAAATACACCAACACTTAGACTTAATGAAATCTCTTTCATACATTTTTTTTCTGATTAACAAATATGTGATATTGCCGTACAGTGGTACATTTTGTGTAACACATTTCACAATATTCAAATGTGTAAAACGATATGTATGCTAGATCACTAAGTTGAATCGACTACCAAGTTAATCAGTTTTTTTTAAGCAATTCTCACTTCAATTATGCTAATCACACTACTCATGTTTATGTCCACTTTTTTGTTCCATTTCAGTTGTATTGGCGTTTTATTACGTTATTTGGAATCTGAAAAATATACACCAGAACGTTTATGGAATGATATTAATCGTTTAGAACTAGGTCAAGATGTAACAGATCGTATATATCATCAATTGCCAACAGCTGATGAAGTGAAAACTTATTTAAATTATGAATTCACTGAACAACGATCTATTGATGATTTAACGGATGAAGATCGTCTTTTACTACATTTATGCAAAGTTGAACGTTTAGGACCTAGATTAGAAATTATTTTATTCATGAATTCATTTGAAGATAATTTGAATGTAGTGAATTCGGTAAGCAATTTATGTCTTTAGACACGATATTGTAATGTCTAGTACTATGTCAAGCCACGAAAATATATCTCATATCTAAAGCAATAATTTTAAAAGTAATGAATACAACTTAACCTCGGTTTCATCACTGTGTTTATATGAATTGGAGAGTTTATTGATATAACATGAATTTATCTCAATCCGTTTTTTATTATTTGACCGCCGATATATATATATATATATATATATATATATATATATATATATCATCCAGAGAAATGTGTCTGGACCTTGATAATACTGATTTAATTGTCGTTGCATAAAGTGATGACATAAAGTCTAGTCAAATTATATTTATTCCAATCACGAACATCGTAATTTCTATGTGTATTGTATCCTACTGAAGTTGAAATTATTTCTACGCAACTGATCAGACCATGTATTTACGCCCACTCCTAGTTGTGCACAGTGAAAAAACAATCATTAGGTTTACATAAAACTAGATTGTTATATGGCTGCTAATAGTCATATGGCTTATGAGATTTATTTTCATGCTCAGTATGGATCATGTTATAAAGGTAATAATTTTTAATATTGTGACCTTGATTTCAAATAATTAAAGGGTAGGCTTTAGTTGTGTAAGAGTGTTAGCCTTAATGATGAAATGTATGATTATAAATTATTCGTCAAGTCACAGTCCTTAAACTAACCCTTACATTGTAGACAATTTTTTTATCACGTTATTGTATTCTGTGCACTTTGTCACATACATCAATATATGTTTAGTAAAAACGTGTACTTGTTTTGTGTATTTATTTATGATCATTGATCATGATTGCATAATCATTTTCAGCTAAGCCGTATACTATCTGTTCACGGATCAAATTGATTTTTAGTAATTTATGTTTATTCGTCTGTCATAATTTATTTGGTGTCGAACTTTTTTCATGGAGCTAATGTGATTCAATAAAAATCCCCTTAAACTCTATTGCTAATTTCGTAATATTATATGATAGTTGTTTAGATGTACCTCATTTTATGTATTTAAATGCTTGGCTCGAAAAATATTAACAAATTTGTCGGAGATAGCTCATTTGGTATACATAACTGTAAGTTACAATAATTTTCAGGGAATATAAACCAACTATAATGTCGAGAAACTCAACGGTTATTTTATGATGCAAATGGTAGTCTTCAAGCATATGGTGGAATGTTGCAACATTCCGATCACTGAAACTTTCTGGTGTAGATGAAATCGCTCACTTTCTGCGATCTTTGTGATTCAGTGTTTAAAAATCTCTATGGCTACTGGTAAATGTAACAAGTTGATTCAGCGTCTATTGTTTCGAAATTGTAATATATAATTTCTATGCTCACTATCAGGTTCTAGCCTGGATCTAAAATTCTTGCTGTTAGATGCTGCATGTATCTAGTTTAATCATTAAGGCTCCAATTCTTCCTTATTTTCGCTATATGGGACTAATCTGTGATACTTTCGTTGAATGAAATTCAAAGGGTTTTGTTTAGTTGTAAGAAAAAGAACTGGAACCTGTCCGTTTGTTGTATACCATTGTGTATGGAAGGTTAGTTTTTATCTAGACTCTAAAAGTAATACTCTACCCATGAATGTAATTCCCTTTTCTTAAAAAATAAGTATCAATAAATGATCGCTTATATTACAAACAGAAACATATAATTATTATTGTTTCTTTGTTTGTAAACCTATTTCGAAAGTATCTTAACTAAGAATCCTTCAAAATATCTCACGTTTTTGTGTAATGTATTTTGTCCAAGAGAGACAATGAAGTTAAACTAAAATTTTCACTACCTATTTTCAAAGGATGACTTCTCAACTTTGATCGCTCCCGTCTTTATTTCATAAATATCATTTTATATCTTGTCGACAAATTTTACCTATAGTCTTGTACTTTTTTACTCTAAAAAATGTTCACATTGCCTGACTTTATTCTCTTTTAAAAGATTATCATTAAAATATGACTCACCGTACTGGGTTTCAATAATCACCTACATAATAAATATAGATGAACAGATTTTAGTTTTGTGTGAAAAATTGAGTCGATTTCATGAGTATACGACCGAATAGTAAAAAAAGTTCGACACATAATTTTCTGTTATCTACCTTTTCTACTCTACTCATATCATACTTACCGTCTCTCACATATATATGCTGAATTATTTGTTCTGTTTTATTTGCATTATTTTATCAGAAAATTATTGCTGTAAGATCAGCTTCGTTAGCATTGAAGAACAGTTGTAAATTTAGAGCTATCTTAGAAATTATATTAGCTTTTGGCAATTATATGAATAGTTCCAGACGTGGTATTGCCTACGGTTTTCGTTTACAGAGTTTAGATGCTGTAAGTTTTCCTTTCTTTTTTTCCCACCTATTTTGTTCAATTATGTTGCTTTTTTGTCTTAATTATTTGGGAAATCGTTGACTGTTGTTTGTCTAAGCTATATTGAAGTTTGGGCAATAGCTAAGATCAGTGGTTGCTGATGTCGCTTGACATGATTTATAATCGTTTATAATGGCACAGATTCATTCATCCTTTCTATTCTCACCACATCAATGTTTAAATTTTGTCATAATCATTGCTACCATATGATTCAATTTATTTGTTAACTTCATTTATTAAAATATGGTGTGACATCTTGAACCACCTCTTATTTGTGTTACGATGTGCGTTGATCATAAATAGCTAATCTATTTTACCTAGACCTGTTCAACGTTGGTCGTTTTTCACATAGTGGGATAACTTTGTCTTTCATTTTATTGGTTATCAGTTTCTATTTGTTTCTTTGAAATGACATGATTCTAGTGAATTCCTTTTTTGTATTACTGGTTACACATCAAAAATTAAAGAAAATTTATTGGTCATCAGTTATCGATTCGTAGACCGAACTATAAAGGTTTACTCTAAATTCATGTAAACTAAGTTGGGAATCATTACTCTTAAGCTTCTCGTTTAATTAAACACAGAATACGCTAAACATAGTCAATGGTCATCTTTCTACCTACACCATAACTATTGAATACTGACTACTTTCGTAAATTGTTCATATGAATCATCTTGTTTTTTTGTATTAACTTAAGCTGCTTATTAATTTGGCAAGTTTTAAGTTCTCTGTTTTCATTTTGTAACAATACGAACGATAAATATGGTTATTGTTTCTGTATTATTGATATAAACGTTAGCTTTGAAAGGCATAAAGTAAATGCCTATTAGTGATCTTCTTGATCGGTTCATCAGTAATTAGGAACAGTAAGTGTTGTATATCTATCTAGCCATCGAATGCACTTTCTTGTTCGAAGAAGATTAAACGAGTAATTGAAATTGTGAAACTTTTAAAGCTATTGAGTATTTTTATGAAATAAGATGGTGGATGGTATATTTACATTCTCGTAGTTGTAATTATTTATTTATTTCAACACATAGATATTGGTACAAAGAGGCACCAAATACATATGCGCCACACAAATCTCATTCGATATGTGTGAGGGCTGTGATACTGCCCGGGTGCCCAGACCGTAGTTGTAAGCCTTCAATCGACTGATTAAATGTTGTTACATCTTTTATCGTTCATAAACTACGGTTGTTAAGTTATTAACATGTGACTCGGATTTGTACCACAAATGTCTTAGTAGTGTACATATTAAATATACCACATGATTGTCTTGCATTATATATATATATATATATATATATATATATATATATATATATATATATATATATATATATATATATATATATATATATATATATATATATATATAATCAGGCGTAAGAGATTCAGTAATATTTTATGATCAATATAGCTCACTCTAGAAGCACATATATGTGATACCTCTCAAGATAAAACAGACTCACTAAATGTCGCAGAGAACGCTAGGAAACTGATAATCCTTCATCTTGCCTTCTATTAGATAAGTTTTATTTGGTGATGTGTAATACAGAAAGTAGATTAAAACATTGAGCTCTATTCTCTATCGTCTCAGTAAAGACGTTTGTTCATGTATTACATCAAATTTGAAGTTTTACTTTGGCTACATAGGTTCTCAGCGTAATAACAGTTGTTATGCGTACCGTGTAGGTTGACGAGAAACTGACATGGAATTATTTTGACCCATGAAGGAAATGATAAGAAACTAACTCAGTTAATAAAATCTCTCACAATGTATCAGTGTTTACAATTGTTTCGACAAGTAATCTAAACCGATAGTTCAGTTCTATTTGAAAAATTGAAAATCGTCTTATTTATTTCTCAAGAATATAAAATTACTTTGAGGTTGAATAAACAAATCTGATTTTTCTTCTTATATTAAAATAATGATGTGAAGGACACTTCATCTCTGAAATCATCATAAATCACATCAGAGACGTGTCAAAAAACTACGTTTTCACAAAGTGGTATATTCATGTATCATAAATATATTTTCAGTATCTTTCTCTTTAAAAGAAAGATGATAGAGCAGTTCAAAGGATATTTCTATGACGCAATACTTTAATTTGAATTAATCCCCTCTACTGAATTTCAAGTCTTTTTTATACAACGAAATAAATGGGAAGTTGAAGATCACTAAAAAGTGTTTTTATACAAAAAAACGTTTTTATACAAAATATAGCGAGTGCTACAATGATGATGTGATTAGTAATTTGGTTAGGAAAACGGCCAAACGAGAAGATCAAGAGCTCTCAATAATAAGATCATACCAACTATCTATTGGATCAGTATAATTATGGATAAATTATAAATCACATCATAGTCATTTTACAAAAGTTTCCATCATGATTTCCTGTATTTTTCACTTTACTCTTATAAATACCCACATTTTTGTAGCTATTCGTTGAAAAGTTTACTTCTATTGGTTATTGTACTCCTTTTTAGTTAAATCGATATTCATCATGTTTATTTTACTAAGTATCAAATTTACACTTTACTTTCGTCTTGCTTCTTTACATATGCACTTTGAGTTGTTTTCGTTTTTGGTTGTAAACACTCTGCAAAAGAATATGAGCTCATTACATTTCGGTCAATTTTCTTCGAGCTAAACAGTTATAGCTTGACAGTAAATCGTTTTGATTAGTGCTTTATACAATAAGTTTTTATAACCATGCCTTTATATGCCAATCTTTCTTTTATATATTAACACCATTTTATTAACTACTTCTATGAAATCGGTGTTCATCTTGTTGTGCTAATGAAATATAGCAACTTGGACCAATGCTCATATGTGCCTGGTCCTACGCTCTAGCTGACTGACTGACGACACTCTCCGTGTGTGACTAGAGAAGGATACTATACGGTTTGTGGTGTAGGGTTTTTTAATATTTAGCTAATATCGAATCGCGGTGAAAATGTATTTGACCATTTGCAACGTCAAACCTAAAGTATATGTGTATAGGTATGTAATGTTCATTTTCTTTAGTTTCCAACTTATCTTTTTTCAGTTATCCGACACACGGACTTTGGATAAATCATGGACTCTGCTTCACTTCATAGTTGAAACAATTGAAACCCAATTTCCTGCCCTAGTTAATTTTGACGATGAATTGACTGGTGTTGTAGAAGCCGCAAAGGGTTAGTTGTATTTTATATAGCACAGTAAACTAGAGATTCTTTCATTTTAACTAAAATCATCACATTGTGGTCTGTCAATCTTTACTTGTACATCATATTAAGTGTTCATAATAAATTCTAAATCCATCATTTGTTACTAACGTCACCATGACTTGTATATTTACAAGACTGAAAATTAATAATTTAATAAAATTACTTAAAGGAAGGTTGGTTTAAGTGACACTGAATATTTACAGTCTTGTCATTATTGACATCATTATTTTCCGCTGTTTAAATTCTTCTTTATAGTCGCTCTTTATTATTTATTTTAGAATGTTCTCATTTTTTACATATGCTTACTCTATCACATTCACTACATTTCCCAATTTTAACGTCGTTCTTGTTAAAAGCGGATAATTTAGACGAGTAATCATCTAGCAAAAAGACCTAGGTCCATAGTTTCCTTTCGATTACCTCCAACCATCTACCATTTCAACATAGTTCACCCGTAGTCGGGTCACAGATATTACTGGCCAAATTGCAGCTTGATCAATATAAGTTAAACAAAATAACATGGATCACTGTTCAGTCATCAGTCAATATAAACAGTTTGAGAGCATTAGATAACTTGTACAACGTTTACGAAAGCTTTTTAAATACTGTATACTTATACTTTATCATTCTTTATATCAGCATCTTCTTTGTCGAATTAACTGAGCTTGGAAACAGTTGCTTATATCTAGTTTCACCTTAACTTATATAATTCCATAGAATTTATAAGTATTTTTACCATGATTAAACATAATTTGAGATTTGAATAGAATGTTAATCATGAAATAATGGTATATTTGTTATATTCCTAACTTTCCAAAGTACTCTGCAAAAATGCCTTACACTAAATCACCAAATGTCAAGCCTTTTAATTCCCGCTTTTTAGCATATTACAAATATACCATTATTTTATTATTAATAGTAAAGTTTAGTCATTCTGTGGGTATTTATAACATTTTTTTGTTCGTTTTATTTTTTCGTTGTTGTATTTTATAGCTATTGTGTTTTTAGACTCTTGAAAGATTTCCATTACATCATATTATTACTTCTATTTAAAATATTATAATTTACCACCTACTATGCACTACTCTAAATCTCATATGTGATATTTGATAAGTGTTCTTCATACTGTAATCAAATCGACAAATATTATAGTACTATGATCATTCAACTATGGATTCATTGAGTTACACGCAGTCTGCATTCTAATACCATATTTTTACTTTTATACTTATTAATATCAGTTAATAATGTCACTGAGAGCCACTTATTCTGCTTGTATATAAGGCTGCTGAAATGCGTATTTACTGAATCATGGGGTCATTCTGTGAAGATTATATATTATCACATTTATATAAAAATTTGGTCGATAACTTTGTACATTATAAACCTTGTTTTCAATTAATTTATTTGCGATGAGTGTTTTTCATTTCAGTTCTCGCTTAACACTTCATCTCAAAGTATAATTTATTGAATATATTCACTACTTCTGTGCCAGCTATATTCTATAATTACTTAATTTATTTGAAATATACTCCTTTGGTTAGTCTTCCAGTTTAATGTAGACAAGTATGTATGTGTTCAGCTTATACTGTAAACATTCAATAGCTTATCTTAAATCTTTCCTAAACACAGTTTTTATTTTCAATCTAAAATTTACATTTTCGCGTAATTGAAGAAAGTATTATGTCTTGTTATTATTCTTGGAATTAGAATTGACTATTTTGATCTATACTTCGACTTTAGTTCCCACTTACCATGTATATATATAATATATAAATATGTACACATGAAACACTTAATGTATTCGAACAGATGTTTATTAAATGTGTCATATATTATATATGCATAATAAAACATATTTTTCCCATTACCATCGATAATCAGATTGCTTTTAGCATTAATGATCTAGAAGTATATTTTTGTATTAATTACTTAGTTGAATGAGTTTTCTGTGTGGTGTTCATTTGTTATTGTGATGCAATGAACCAAAAACGAAAAAAACTACTTTCTTCAAATTGTAAAATGGTCAATGTTAAATAATCAAAACTATGTGTATTAAAATTATTGTAAGCCTCGTAACATCATTTTATGATATTTGGTTAAAACTTCCCTCTATCCAAATTGCTTTGAATTCAGAGCTTTCATTTTCTATTTCCCTTCAACTTGTATTGTAAAACAACCGAAACTGTTTGAAGTCAAATATTTATACAAATTACCTTAAACACTTCCAAGGTATTATCATGTCTCAGAGCATAATTGTCGTACACAAATAATATAAATTACCATCAGTCAGTTAGTTTTTATTAAAGTACAATTGTGACTAGCAACGGAATCCAAGTTGCAAATTTCATCCTATTCAGAACAAGCCAGTTGGATATACATAGTTCTTAGTGTCGCTATTCACATGAGAACTTGAATTCTGTACTCGTCATTTCAAATACTATTACATAACCCATAGCTAATTACTTGTTCAATCAGTATGATATTCATATCACTCTGTTAGTTATTTAAATATTTGAATATTTCTAACAGTTTTATATCGATATCAAGGTAGATAATCACATCTGTGTTAATTCCCTCTTTCCTTTTTCCCATTTGAATATAATTCTTATTTAAAATTCTATTTTTTTTACAGTTCCAACAGAAGCTTTAACAAATGATGTAGCAGCATTAGTTTCTGGTATGTCACAAGCTGATAAAGAGACAATTATTTTTGGTTCATTGAAAACACCACAACGTTTATCAGATTTTGTATTGAATAATAAATCTAAAGTGGAATCTATTGAAAAACAAGCAGAAACTGCACGTAATATGTTTGCTAGAACAATTGAATGGTTTGGTGAAGCGCAAATTAAACCTAGTCCAGAACAATTTTTCAGTTTAATTGTTCGATTTATTAAAAATTTCAAAGTAAACATATTGAATTATTATTATTATTAATGTATTTCCCTGTTAGTAGTATTGTTGTATTTATTATATACAATAATGATTCTGATCATTGGTAATATATATTTAAATATTAAGGCTTTATATAAACTTATTAAACAAATCAGCTATGTGTTCATCACTTATCATGACGTAATAATTTTGACTTAATTCGTGTCATTTGTACTTGTGTGTACGCATAATAATCTGTGTATTTTGTCATAAACTTTTGAGGTAAAGCTGTAAACAGATTTTACTGTAATTATCGATTTTTAGTGTTGTGTGTGTGTGAATTAACGGGCATCTATAGTGTTTTATTAGTGCTTCATTTGCTTCATCAAAGACACAATGACCTGGTTGACAACTTTTTATTAGTGATAACTGTTGACGCTTTGTTACATCGAGTAATTCCTAATAGTTTTTTGTCAGTAAAATGCCTAGCCGCTAAATAGACCACCAAATCTTATACGACATAGCTCTTCCATTTTTTAAGTAGCTTGCAAAATGCTTTGTATCTTTCTTTTTCAGAATGCAATAGTCGACAACGAAGCACGACGTCGTGTTGAAGCCCTTCAAAGTTTAAATTCTATAACCGGTGATGATAATGGCCCATTATCATCAATCAATCAAATTTCAATCAACCATATTCCAAAAAGACCAAAAGATGTAAGCATTTGGTGTTTAACTTGTTGTTTATCAATTACAGTGTATTCCTATACTTTATTTAATTATATAAACATCTTCATTACCATAGCGTTGACGAAAGTAAAGTATCTAAACGAGTCTATCGAAACAGAGAACACGACCTTCAGGCTTTTGTGGAAAATTCAGATGACGTGCTTAACGATTGGTGAAATACCTGTACATAACCCTCATAGCGAAAAAGATTATTTCGCCAACACAAAGCGAAAACGATTGTGTTTAACATATGAAATTCTCAATTATTTGTCAACTGTACATAATAGGCAAGTCGACAGGACGTCTAAATCTTAACCATGAAACTTTTATTCTGTTACCACTATATTTTATGATCAACCTCATCAGGCAACGGCTCTTAAATCTTTTCGTAAAATTCATCCATCCATATGGCTCCAGAGCATTTTTACGTTGTAGCTGTTGATATTTCATGTTAAAAGTTCTAATCCTTACCCTAACAAGGAACAATGTGGACATTTAAAAATCTATTCTAATCTTCACAGTTGTTCTCGAAGGTCGATAATCTATATCCATAAGGACGAATTTATTCCGTTGTTTTATCGATCCAGTCAGAGTGATCTGTAGAATACTTTAATAAGTTCATTTATTATCTGAAATCTGTTCACCTTATTTAATAATATTATTTTCTTTTCTATAAACTGTTCATTTACAAAAGCTGTTTTGTGATCGATTAGATAAAGACTGGCTAAAAGTTCATCACGGTTGTTTTGAGCTCTCACTAAATCTTCCTTCTATTATTATTAATGATAATTATTAACTCTTGTTATCCATTTCATACAATCATTAATGATCTGTAAATAATATTTGCTGATTACTCTTGTACACTTTAGCTTTATCCGTAAATCTAATACTATTACAGTTTCATTTCGAATCTACCAAGGAATTCACTTTTCAAGTTAATATTTTCTAAAATTATTAATTAAAATACTTAAAGTTGTGCTCTAAAATATAAAAAAAGTGAACGAAACTGTAGTAATTGTGTATTATTTATCGACTTTTTTTCGGTCAACAAATAAACTATTTCACAAGTTGAAATCATGAGTCAGTTGAAGCTAGACCACCATTGAAAACCTGGAAGCACTGGACGGCCGTTTCGTCCTAGTATGGGACTCCTCAGCAGTGCGCGGGTTCGAGCCCCGGGTGGTGCGGGGTCGTGGATGCGCACTGCTGAGGAGTCCCATACTAGGATGAAACGGCCGTCCAGTGCTTCCAGGTTTTCAATGGTGGTCTAGCTTCAACTGACTCATGATTTCAACTTGTGAAATTTCTAAAAATCTCCACAAAACCCATTCTGATAAAAATAAACTATTGTTATTCAACTAACTTGGATGAAATACAAAATAGTTAAAAACTCAATGAAATATCAATGGATCTGATCATTCAGTATAATATCATATAAAAATAGTAGTTTTGTAAATTAAAAAAGATGGTAAATTTATAGAAATTCTCATTTGTATTTCTTTCTGTTGACTGTTTTAAATACATATGAACTTACAATTTGACATCATTCTAAATCCTTATATCTGTATGTATGCATTAGTGTTTAGGTTAATTATAATTTCAATGTTATTATACTTTACAGCCCTGAAATCTGTCAATTCCTCACATTTTTTGTTTATTTTTGACTACATATGACCTTCTACCTTTTTTGTGCCAATAATTTTTTTCTATGTATTACTATCTATTGTTTACTTGTTTACTATGGGATTATTCGACTTTGAATTGTGATTCATATATAAATGATGACTGGTTATACGATTGTTATATGAAAATTAATAATACAAATTAAATCATTTGTGATATTAATGAATTTGACAAAGTAGAATTTAGTGTGAATTGTTTTACAGTTGTTGCTATAGTTTACATTTAATCATTGTGATCAATCAAAATTTGGCTAAATTACTCACTCATATAACTGTACAATACATTTAATTCGAGACTTTAACGATTCGCGATAAGTGACTTATATAAAAGACATTTGTCTGATTTGACAAACGTTGGTTTATCAGTTGAACAATAGATTCGAGTGCATTAGTTCTTAGGTTGTTATAGGTGAACGACTTGAAATCTCACAGAAAATCAGTCTTGGCCGTAATAACTTAGTTGGTATCGTCCCAGACTTTATAGCTGAATGACTCAAACTTGGATCTCTCTGAAAGCATCAGATTCTTTAAGATTTCATGTACTCCTTGGTAGCTAATGCCAACCACCTAACATCTCAAAATAGAAGACTTAATGTCTACTCACAAGATCTAATACAATACAGAAAACACAAACCCAATCACGCTTCATGGAGAAGATGGGGAATCTTTTACGTATCTGGAAAGCATCATCGATGAACTAGTAGGATCCGAAGTGGATCTGAAGCCGACGATCGGAAAATCATGGACACTATTTTTATAGTTGAACGACATATGGAACACAAAACAAATGTCTCCAAGCCAACATCAAAATCAGAATCTTCAATACGAATGTCAAGACGATTCTACTGTATGGAACTGAATTTTGAAGAACTACCACAACCATCATCAAAAGAGTACAAGTATTTATAAACAGTTGTCTACACAAGATACGCAATGCTCGTCTGCCGGATACCATCAGCAACAGTCTACTATAGGAGAGAACAGATCAGCTTTCAGCTCAGGAGGAAATCAGGAAAAGACGTTGAAAGTGGATAGGACACACATTAAAGAAATTACTAAACTGCATCATGAGGCAAGAGCTTATCTGGAATCCTGAAGGGAAAGGGAAAAGATGAAGGCGGAAGAACACACCACGTCTGGAATTGGAAGAAGATATGAAAAGGATGACTAGCAAGTGGAAGGGATTATCCAGGATAGAGTTGGATTGAGAATGCTGACAGACGGCCTATTCTTCATCACGAGGAGTAATAGGAATATGTAAGTAAGTAAGTAATGTCTACTCACTTAGACTAATGACCACATTGTATCTTCACAGATAAAACTCGATCTACACTAAAGGACTGGATATAAACGATACTGTTAACTACTCAGTGATCAATAAATGATAATATACCTAATTCCGTGATAACTTCGCCTTTATTAACTTAAAACTTTCCTCTTTTCCCCTTATTCCCTTAAACACAGTTTCGTTTACTTGATGATTTCTTTGGTATTAGTTCTTTCCTACACTGGTTTTCTTACGATTGAACCTGTTCACTAAATTGTTTTTTATCAGTATTTCTTATTAATAATATTATCCATTTATTTATCAGGATGTTCCTGTTTCGGAATTACAGGTTTGTTTGAATTCTGCCTATTGAACCTATGCATGCATATTTATTTTAATAATAGTTAATGATGAATATCATTACACAAATGATTACAATTGTAATTTTTAATTCTATTATCATAATTTGGCCTATTTTTCATATCAGCATCACCACTTCCATTGACTGACTCATTCTTCTATTTAAAACAAACACAACAAGTCGTAATTTCAAAATAAAATTATTTTGCTCAATTGTAATGTAAACATTATTATTATTGTATTCAATAGTTCTAGTCTAAATGTTTTACGGTGCATTTGTGTTATATTTAGTTTTGTTTTAATTTGATGTGTTTAACTGGTGGATTGTTAAAATTTGATTCGTTTTTTTTCAGTTTTAAAAAAAAAAGACATTTTAAATGCGTATTAGTGTTGGTGTATTTTTCTACAAGGTGTGTACTGATTAGTTAATAGTGATCAGTAATAATGCCTTTATCATGTATCTATGTAAAAGATATACTTCTAATCTGTTTAATGATATTCTAGGTAATATTAATCTTTCCTTTTTCTTTGCAAACCATTTTAAGTAATTCAATCAATTTAAAATGGTTTACATTATTTCGTTGTGGATATTTTAACTGAAATTTGATTAGTTTTGGTTGGTATATATATATGTGTATCTTGTGTGGATTGCTTCGATATAGCCATTATGATACAAGTTAACATTGAATAGATTAAATGTGGCTTAGTAAGGCTAATCAGATTTCAGTAAAAATATCAATAGCAGAATAATCTAAACCATTTCTAATTTCAGAGAATAACGGTTTTCTAGACTCAGTAGCTAAGTCGAACACTCGATAACATTTGAAGCGAACACTACCAAATTCAAGCTTCAGAGTGAACAATAACTTTGGGACCCAAGTACACCTGACTGGCAAGCCCAAAATAGAACGAAATGCGCGTCTTGTTTTCCACTACTAGCTACATTCCATCTATTCTACATCATTTAGAGTAATGTTTGAGTAATGGTAAATGAGTTCTAGATCATTATTAGTAAGGATTATAGTTCTACTGTTATCAAGTGCTTGAAGCTCACTATACCAGGTTGAAGTCCCAATGTTGAGCATCAGCACTGACTTCCATGTCAGTCGAACTTACACGAGTATTCTTATTCAAGCTTTCCACGACATTTACACACATTTACATCAGCAAAGGTAATGGATCCTAACATTTAACATAAACTAAAGGTGTTTTCCTGCTTACTTTTATTTTTAAATTCACACATTTTTTAATAGAATCCATTGTTTGTATAAATAAATAGACACGAACCTATATAAAAATTATAATGGTTTAAATTTCGATGTTGTAACACGTCCCCGAATTTTTTTAATAGGTAAACTGCTACGTTTATTGTGAAATGGGAAATAATGTTATTGGTAAAGTCTTTTATAAATGTCAAAATCACGTTCCGCTTATATATCCAGTAATCGAGTTTCACATAATTTGAAGCAGTAAACAAAGTGTAGGGACTGATACTACGTCAAGCCCACATGGGTTAATCTAACCTCTGGGTAGTCCATTCTATTCATTCTTCTCAAGCCATATTTTACTCTGTCACTTGTTTTATTAATTCTGATTGTTTTTTATCTGATCGTATATGTGCTAATTACTTACCCTACTCATCATGTGTCTGTAACTTATGTTTGTTTGACTATAAATATCTATTCATATTTGATCAAATTGAGTTGGTTCACTGGCTTTCTCCAACGCGCATCATTTCGTTTCTCATCGTTTCCTTGATTGTTTCTCTAGACCAACGATTGTATAAGATATTCGTATTCAAAATTCATTCTCGTATTTGACTTATTTAATTCCGTTATTCACTAACGCGAGTCAAGTCGATGATAATATACGAAGGTTGGCAGTATTTATAAATCGATAGTCTTCACTGTACGATATAATTGGAGTCAGATACATGGTCGCTAAAACAGCATCATCTCAAATAAGAAATGTTCTACAGATGAGTGCTACTAATAATAGTAATAATATCCATTGTATCTTCTCTTTACTGATGTTGACATTCTAAATATTTTACGGAAAAACCATTACAATGTTGCCATTTATACTTTGTAATTCTTTACAGAAAAAAGCTTTTAACTAGTATATTACCGTAACTTTTGTACAATTTCAGAGAAACAAATTTAATCTCTTTTAAAGTTATCTAAATTTACTAATGAGGTAATTTTGTGTACTACTGATTTAGCTCTACAATTCTTCATTGCATCATCCTTCTTTTGTTATTGTTTTCGGTGAATTAAATACTGTGTGTTGAATAATTTTCCATTTAAAAGATCAGAAATTTACTGTAATCTAAACTAGTTAGTTGAGCAGTAATTGTCGTATAGTTGAATTCACAAAATATACAGATTGATTACTATAAACAGATAACTTTTTAAGCTGTTCCATATCACTCTTAATTATGAATTGTTAATATGTGTCTGCCATTTGTTTGTTGGATCGCATCATTTGAATTCGTGTTCTGCTTAACTACTGGTGTCTCTGTGTATTATGTTTACTTTTTTAATTGTGTTATCTCAATTTGATCATACGTAGATGTCTTTTTCTGTTAACGCGTCAGCTGTAGACTCATGTGGTTGTCCCTCAGTCATACTAGAAGTGTGTGAGTTAGTGGTACTACTCCGAGTCCCTAAACTGAAGTAGGTGTAGTAGGGTTCAAACGTATGATTTCGTGTCTGAAAGTCAAACATCCTAAACACTAAGTCACCGTTTATTTTAAATATTCTTATTGAAAGCTGTCAGATTTCCTGTTTAAAGTCCGCGTGATTATTTTAACCAATGGTTACAGACTTTGAATGACATGGCAACGAATTGTTCTCAATGGCGCAGATCCATTCATACTGCGCTTTCTCTTAAATTTTGAATCCCATATTTCTTCATAACTTTTCCACTACTAAAGATACTGTCAATGCTTCTATTTTTTTTGGATTTGCCTTAGTAATGTTGTTGTGGTAATGTCATGTAGCAACCTGAGCCGACGCATATATATGCCACGTTCTACATTATATTAAACTGACTGATAAGAAGTGCTTGTGTTGACAACTCCTCAACAGTGCTCATCCACGACACCACATCCAGGAATCGTACCCAACACCTTGAGTATCACACCCGAACACAGCCTCTAAGATACTGAGCTGCGATTGAATGATGTACATACATACCTTTAATCAATTAACGATATTTTTCCACCAACTATTTCATAACTGACTTGATTGTGCTGCACTGATCACTGCTTGCCTTTGTAATCTGTAAACACTTTTTGACAATAAAGAAAAACCAATACTTGTAAAATAGTTTTCAAGTGCTATTAAGTGTTTCGCAAATATTTTCAGTGTTGTATTTCATATTTTCATCAATTTTTTAAACGGTCCACTGGGTGGTTGAAAATCATCAATAATTTGTCGATTATGTTCTTGTATTTTACCTATAATAATTTCATTAATGTTTTTGTATTCTTCATAATGGAACGTTTTTCCGTCTTTTTTTTACAAAGACTACTTATTACTCAGACTGTTTTTCTCTTTTGGTAACAGAATAATCTTTTATTTTTGGGATCATTTAATGGTAGATTACACGGTGATCAGATTATATTGACTTACTTGAAGGTAATTGTTTCTACAACTATTACTATCGACCTAATATCGATAAAACCACTGCTGACAATGTAGCAAAGCGGGGTTTTTTTTATAAACAATATTACTTCTTTGATGAGTGAGGTTGATTATTCTAGGCCAAACTTTACTGAGCAACTTGTTTATATTCCGTTCTATTCATGCACATAAAATGACCATGGGGCTTATTTCAATTATCTAAGCTTAATTTCTACACTCAGTGTACCTAAATAGTGACGTATCTGAAAGTGACACTAGTCGTAATCATCCCATCTGGAATATCACTTCTCTCTAATTAATTAGCATGCCTAACTGATATATGTGCCAGATAGAGTATGATGTGATTTCAGGACTTCTTATCGATTCCCTATACCTACCCAATATATCCACCTTTATGTACTGTTTGGTTTTTTATGAATTTCTTTCAATACATTTTCTGTCTTTATATGTTGTAGTAATTAATTGGTCAATTTTGTTATTCCTTTATTTGGTTTTAATTTTAAAGTAACACATCATACGGGCACCAACTTACATCCTTTTTCATATTAGATGGATAGTTTCTCATTTACTAAAATAGTAGAAGTTACCCTGCAATGTGCCACAAAACAAAGAGATAGTGTTATGGATGAGTAAAAAGGGGGAGAAAGGAGTATAGTTTAAGAAGTATAAAAAACTAGATTATATAAAACACAGTTCGGTTAGAAATGCGGCGAAAAAAGACTTCTACTAGTCAGGGAAGTTCCTGTCAATTTCGAAAGAAATGTAAAAGAATGCTATGACAGAATAACCACTCATTCCGCTCTGCGTCTGATCATATCTTATGCCAGTCAGTTGCATTATTTCTGGGACCCCAACCAGGGGGTCCTTAATACCCCTCACCATATCATAAAATGACTACTTGTCAAGTTTCTTCATACAGTATCAGTGTTAGCAGTTAATCTTTGAGGTGGTAGTCGCTGGGATGACCTTTGAATAGTATGTCCAAGTATCCGAAGATGGCGTTTCTAAGTGGCGATACCCACTGGACTGTTGTCACTGTGTAATTTAGTAAATCTAACCATGGGTTTTTTCAATATCGTTTACAGTTGACGGTATATAAAATTTTCGTCATCATGGAAATATATTGTGAATTTGCCATATTTATACTCCGACATGTTAAAACTATTTTACGTCAGTCTATCAATCAAATACTCCCATTATTGTGTTATTTGTTCACTGTTTCGGTTTTTATGGTGAACATTTTTGGATTTCTCCTCTTTATGTTTATCCTTTTCAGTATAATCTGTTCTGAATTGTTCTGTATGGTATTTTCGTACTTTTGCAAAAATTTATATATTTGACACCAACTTACTATACTATGTGTAACTGATATTTTTTATTACGGTCATTTGATATGCACAAGACCACACATAACTTTGTATTAAAATGTGTAAGAATATTGATTCAACTGTGTTGTGAAATTTAGTTGAGAGGATTACTATATCCATTTGTTTAAGACCGAATTTGGTTAATCGTTGTATGCTTTTCACTTATAGTTCTGTTCACATCACAAAAACATACTTTCCCTACCTTTGTCAACTTTTTTTTAGAATTTCGTTTCAGCTACTCGTTTTGTAAATCAGTTATGCTTCCTACCAAAATACCTTCAGGTTTGACTGTATATTTTATTTGGATACAGATTCAATGTACTACATAATAGTGATCTTTCTAAGATATATATATATATATATATATATATATATATATATATATATATATATATATATATATACGGTTATCAATTAAATATAAGCCACAGTGTTAGATTAATTGCGACCACAATTCTGTTGATGTATATCATGTTGTATGAGTACTGAAGTTACTGTTAAGTTCCGTATAACAAGTCATTCTCAGTTCACTCAACCATAAAACTCCATATTCGAAGGCTAAAAGCTCCTAACTAACTAGTATTTCCTTCCTTTATTGTTTTACATTAAACATTACCAAGTATTTCCTTAGACTAAATTTAGTACATAATAAGTGAGACTACCAGTGGTCTCAACCGTACTAGTATTTCTACTCCACCCAGTTACATTCCTTAATTCTAGTTAATACGGCTTATTATGAAAAGTTTAATACACTTCATCCAATCCAGTGTTATATTTTCACCAAATTTACTTATGACAACATAGAATAATCCATATGAATACTTATTGTACACAACTTACCGACCTGTTTTACTGTTTAACGAATTTCAGTATATTGTGCAATGCAATTTCAATTCATCCAGTATGTTAGGTGATTGCTTCAAATGTTTAAGAGCTAGATCTTCATTTTACTATCGTTTTTCTTATAAGAACACCTTTTGATTTTAAAACAATAATTTATTGATGTTAAAGTATGAAAATTCACTTTAATTTTATCGAACTGAACACATTTTCTAATAAACTGAGTTTTTGCAGTCTGTCCAAATGATTTCGATAAATGTATTTTGAAGTTCGCAACTATTCGATCTCGTTTACGCGGTGAATTTAGTTAGTGACTTTCAGCCTACTAGTAAGTAGTATGATTTTATCGCTCACATTTGTCTTCGTACTTTAATGTGACTTTTTATGGAATTAGATGTAATCACTTCCTTCATGTTTATCTTATTAAATTGGTTTCCTGATTCACGCTCATAATTATTGCTTTTAAATTAAATGATTGGTTTTCCCTTAAAAAGATTGATCTTTACATTTTATTCTGTGTGAAATCAGAAATTTTTTCTCGGCTTTGTAGCACTTGAGTGCGACTGTGTATTCTTCTTGTTTTAGAAGCGCTTGGCACAAGAAGCTCGGTTGGCTAAACGACGATTTAAAAATCGTACTAGACAGATTACAGGCGATGGAATGATGGACGAAATTCTAGCAGGTATCTTGTCGTTTTTTCTTATTTTTGTACTGTTTCCTTGACCATACCTAAAGTATTATTATGGTGTGCACTGCTTATGTGGAAAAGCATAGGTAGTATATAGTAGGAATTGAAAATGAAATGCTTACCAACAGAAGATTGAAATAAAGAGAAAGGTAAGGAAAACTGGGGGCAATGGGAATAACAACTGGAGTGGGAGAATGATGTAGTGTGTAAGGGACGACCGAAGGAAGATGTGCAAATGTATTTAATGTCTGATTTTCATACTTTACAAAGGCCATAGTTTTGAATAAAACAGTAAATTCGTTTTCCTCACAAAATTTTCTTTCATATGGACAACTAAGTTTTTAATAGAGTAGATAAGTATTGTATTATTTAAAATATACTCGGAAATCGTCCTCATTTTCTCAATATTTCGTAAACGATGAGGTGAAGATAAATTATGAATTACAAGTCTGAAATGTAATTACTCGCCTAAAGAAATATTCGAAGTGGTTTTTTTTAAAGTAGCGAACAAAGAGTACAAACTCTCAAACGTAGAAGCACGTTCTAGGTTCAAGATAAAATGAAGCATTGGACGTATTCTGAATATCGACCACTTTTGTAACAATGGATTGCTAATGCTTCTACTGTTTACAATATTCCTATCTGCAATCCTTTTAAGCTAGTTCTTAAATCTTGTAAATAATATTTTTGGGCTACCCGATCAGAGTTCACTAGGTATATGTGAATTTAACCACTCAATGTACTACTTTCTTTTTTCAATATTTATACAATATAATGGTTGAAGATGCTTTTTGAAAGTATATACTTTGTGTAGCTGATAGTATAACCCACTCCATAATAATCTCATAAATGGTTCTTACGTGAACGCCTTCATAACTTTAAGCATTATCTTCTAACACCAAACAGTGGCAGTAACTGGAAATTTCTTTCACATCATATTCCCAATTAATTTCTTTTTCTATTCTGAACTGACTTGTGAATTGCTTATTTTCTTGTCTATTCTACACTATGTGAGTTTTCCTACTAAAGGTTATCAATCTTTGACCTCAAGCCAAAGTTGAGCATTGTTGTATCTATATATTTATTTCATGCAACAACTAATTAATAGTTTTTTTGGTATTTTATAGTCTTACGTTTTTCTATTCTTTGACGGTGCATAATGTTAATATTCATTAAGGTTTACCTGATTAATGGTAATAATGCATTAAAAAATCTTTAACTTGTCTGTAAGCAGAAATTTGCCCCCAAATGCCTTGGTACGGCCGAGAGTGGGGAGAGTCCGCTCTCCCTCTCGAGATACTCTCACACGGCCACGCGTATATAGCCTCTGCCAGGGAAGTCCTACTCACTGCCTTCTCGTGGCATTACTGTTGTTTACGAAAATGAGAGGACGGAAAGCGAATGTCCGGCGCTTAAACCGGATTCCAAACCAATGGTGCACATGGGCTCCAGTATCCTGCGGGAACAAATGGCGTATGAACCAATTGTTGGTCACCGGCTTCCATGGGACTGCATCTTCTTACGATGCTCCACTGCCTTGTGGATCAGACCGTCAGGTCGAAGGCTCGAGGTGTGGCCCCCTAAGAAAACCACCTGCTTCGGTTTGGGCACCCGGGCAGTATCACAGCCCTCACACATATCGAATGAGATTTGTGTGGCGCATATGTATTTGGTGCCTCTTTGTACCATTATCTATGTGTTGAAATAAATAATCTACAAAGGTTGTAGTGCAACTTTGGGAGATGCAGTCCCATGGTAGCCAGTGACCAATAATATATTCATGCGCCACAGAGGGATTAGTTTAACTAATATAATATCTAAAATACTAGCCTCAATAATAATCAGACGCCTAACTAAGACTCGTGAACTGCAAACACGAGAAAACCAAGCTGGCTTCAAACCTGGTCGTGGCACCCGGGCAGTATCACAGCCCTCACACATATCGAATGAGATTTGTGTGGCGCATATGTATTTGGTGCCTCTTTGTACCATTATCTATGTGTTGAAATAAATAAGCAGAAATTTAGATAGTTATCAACTGAAATTGCATCACTATCTTACTTCCTAATTTTCATCATCAATGTCCACAATATTGAATATACGTATTTAATAATCACAGTACTAATATACCAAACTTTTGTTATCACATCGCTACGTGATTTGTTCTAACTCTGGTACAGAAAAATTAGTCTAATCTTTTTTAATTATCCTATCATTCATATATATCACCTTGCTGATGCTTGTATGTTAGTACGTGGTGTCTGTCTCTTTCAGACTTATCAAGAATGAGTCACATATTACTCACTGAGTTGAGACATCCTTCTCCGCTTTGTATCACATATTAACGTCTGTCAGAGTCAACCCGTGTTTGAAATAAATTCGTCTAACTTATTTCGTATTTGCTTTTTTATTAATATCTAAGTAGAATATGCCAAATCAAATGGAGAATTTATGGTCACGGTTCATTCATCGTCCGCTTATAATGTAATCAAATCACGGGCCTAGATTAAAATTGTCATTAAACGTGGATAAATAATAATAATAATAAATCATGTGTCACCCAACTTCACAGTCAGAAATGTTACCAATGAGCTGTTCGGGCCACGACTGACCTCTTGTGAGACAGAGATGTATGTAAAATTGGTTGATCATTGAGTAACTCATGAATTATAAACTAATCGATTCAAAATAATATTACTTACAATCGTAGTTTAGAAGTAAACATGACAATTCAGTTTGAAAGGGATTAATAAAATATAATGTTAAACTTTCCAGCTATTAACTTATAAATAGTGGATGTATCTGCACTACTGTAATCGATCTTTATCCATATCAGCTTGATCATTTGTATGAGGGAGGGTTGAAGTACACTTATTTTTGTTTAATAACTAACCATCTCGTTCATGATTTATGAAAAATTTAATTAGTATTATATCTCCTTTTATTATTGTTAAAATCGTTAAATAATCTTAAGTATCTTTAAACTGAGCACGTACATGTTTTCTTTAAATACTACTATATATTATTCCGCTTAAAACTCAATCTGATGATAATTCATTCGCAATCCTCCTCCGTAAGTTTCTTTTTCATCTTCGACTATTATTGTTGCTTCAGTATGGGATTGTAAAGATTGGTAAGTTTTTGATTGAAATCATGAATCGATCGATGATGTTAGACCGCTATTGAAAACTTGGAAGCACTGGACGGTCACTTTATCCTAGTATGGGACTCTTCAACAATGTATATTAACCTTATGATTTTATCAATTTCAGTTAATTTTCCATTTTATATAAATTGAATCATTCAACTAATGATAATCATTTTTCTTTCAAATAATAAACACTTTATTTGTATTTTTGTACATTTTATAAATTTATACATATATATATTTAAAAATGATAAATTGTTTATTTGATTTCATAGGTCTAATATCGGAACCATTGCAAGCTGAGGTTCATCCACATCGTAATCGTTTATCTGAAAATAATAATAATTGAAAAGTTTTCTTTCTAATTTCTGTTCATAATTCAAACAATTGTCCGCACACTCACATACTACACACCTATTAGCTTGTTGTGTACGCCCAAATCAATCAGTTAACTTGTCTTTTTGCTTGTTCATTACATTTTGATTTGTTTGTTTTTTTCTCCTTCTTTATAATTCACATTAGTTTGTTCATTGTGACTTGGTGTTTGTTATTGTTTGTGATGACTAGTCAACTGATAGATCTACATACATATGTGTAATCTTCTGTTTTGATTGTGCTTCAATTAATTTATATATTAAATATTAAGATCTTATTTAAATGATCATTATCATTTTCTTCTCTGTATCCAGTTCATTTAATTCACCATTGATTTGTTGTTTACAAGTTGGACAGATTGACACATTGAAACATATTGTTTTGTAATATTCGTTTGAAGTACAGTGTTTTTTTTTCTTAAATTAGTCATTTCAAACCTGTTTTTTTAAGAAAAATCTAGCTGGTCTGCATCAATACTTTTGTTTTGCTCTATTATGTTCGAATGTATTGTTGTCGTTATTAATTAGTGTTATGTGTTGTTGTTGTTGTTGTTGTTTTAGTTTTATTTTATGATATTCGAATGTTTGTTTTGTGTTTGTATTATCATTATAACACAAATTCCTCTTCTTTTTAAGTTGCCTTTTTATTCATTTACTTGGTAAAGCTCGTTGTTATTGCCTTCTTTTGTCATATTTCTCTACTGATCATTATCTACAGTTTATTCTACTTAAATATTATGACTAATGATAGCTTCTTTATCTTTGAAGGAGAAAAAACATTCTTTTCTGTTCAATTTTAAATCTAGTCACATTTTTAAATGGTTATATGATAAACTACATGTCTCTTCATTTCTATCTTACTCCTTATTTGTTTACTGCCTTACTTTTCTTCTTGACTTCAAAAAGGTTTTTTATACTTAGGAAGAGAAAAAAATAAATGATGATCTCCCGGTTAACCAAATTTCTGGCTTTTTTTAATTATTAAAACAAAACCTTTCCAAATGAACATATATATATATATATATATATATATATATATATATATATATATATATATATATATATATAATATCTGTATAATAATTACAAATAGTATTTTTACACTGAGTTCAAGTATACTATTCTTTTTCTTTACTTACCCAATTAATATTCTTTTTTATCTAATTTAGTCAGTTGTATTCTATATTGTTGTAGTTGTTGCAATCATATTGCCTGTTGTATGTTTTGTTAAAGTTGACATGTATGTGTACACATATTTATTAATTCATTGAAATAACAATGAAATATTCTTTTATTGTATTATGATTTTCGAATTATAATGCTCTTTTGTATATCTTTTTCTTTACTTACTTTTTGGTAAATTTACTTATAGAGTGTGTTAATCAGGGGGGTTTTATTTACAAAATGAATTGATACACTTACATTCTCTTCTTCAGAACTGAAATACATTGGTCGTCTACAAAAAGTTAACTCTTTTTTTTTCTTGTATAAGTTATTTCACATTAATCTTTCATAATTATTTGTTACTTATAACTGCCTATGGATGTTGATGTATTTTCGCTTTGATTTATTGATGATTGCATAATTGTGACAATAATGAACAGTAAGAAAATGGTTATACTGTTATTGTTGTAAATTCACTCGACATAGTACTATGTGTTTTGTCGAAATATTTTATTCATTTTTTTATACCAGGAATATTCCTCATTTTGTAATTGAACTTTGTATTGAAACTATTGCTTACGTTCATCTTGGTTTACTGTTTAAATTTTTTTAAAATTTCCTTACTATCCGTTTATAAATCTGTATAAAATATTTACGTGTTAATTTTGGGTTATAATTTATATATATATATATGATATCGTATCAGGTTTTTGTCTTATCCAGCTGATCGGAGCTATTACATTCTTCGGATAAGGAGTCATTACATATTATTCATTCTATTCTAAGAGAGAATTCTGTTATATATTTTAAACTGTACACAGTTAATGACATGATCATTTTCCTTGTGTACTCAAGGGTAAGTTTGTACTTTTGCTATAATCCTTCAGAATTCAATGATTTAACCAGTGATCTACAACCCATAAAACGACTTTTTTTAATACCAAGTATTGAAAAACTAAAGAATTAGTAGTATATTTTAGTAATTAATAAAAATTATATTTGTCTACTTTTCCCTATTTGTCATTCAATGTATTTGCATATTTTGATTTTTAACAAACTGGTTGACTTATTCTTCAAAGATTCCTATATGCATATGTTAAATATTAACAGCGGTTATAGTCTGAGATTGTTTAGTTCATATTAAATGCTAATTGCTCAGTAGTGTTGATAAATAGTAAAGTTACAACTTGTTCTTTAAATGCTGCTGCATGTTTAAGTAAAAATACTTTTCCACTGAATAGTTTAAGAAGCCTATCATCTAGTTTAATATGTATACTAATTTATTCTATATATATATACTGAAAATACAAGGCATAATATACTTTGTTAAAAGAAAGCAAATTTAGCCATTTTATGTATTTGAACGAAGCTACATTTTCCGAATATCTGAGTAAACAAAAATTTAGTTAAGGTGTAATTACAAATCAAGGTAAGATAATGTGTGAATATGTGGGGTGAATTTCATTAGGAACGTAATTCAGTTAATCTATGATTTGACTTGATAAATCTTATCTGAGACTAAATATTTCTTGACCAGTCTTCGTTTTTTTCAGAATCTACCTCTTGATGTGTGAAGTTTTCATGTGATCAGTTTTAGTCGCTTTTTTTGTCAAGTGGATAATTGGAACTGTTAAATTATATTAAATCTCTCAATTACTGTCATAAATAGTTTGGTTGGAGGTGTAAACAATTTATGAAATGAATTAGGTTTACGTTCTTCTACTCCAGTTGTTGTACTGGTTAACACTTCTAAATTTAAAAAAATTGTATCTGAGAGAAGACAGTTTATACGAATGAATTAGTGGACGTTTTCTGTCACTAAGACTCCTTATAGTTATCTCACGTCATAGAATATTTCCTTATCTAACGAGAATTATGTTAGTTTTAAAGGAAAGAGTATTCGTTACCAGTTGACAACAGGACTTAAAATCGGACTTACATTTTAACATATATAAATACAGTTTAATTAATGTAATTCGATTTGAACCAACCCATACATTTAGTGGGACAGAATAATCGTTATTGTTGGAGTTTCTCTGGGTTTGGTGGTTTGCTTGTGAACCTTTAACTAACCTTCTGGACGAAGTTTGCAGAAACTCGAATTCCTCACTATCTGAAGTTTGTGTGTGCTGTTGATCTCATCCAGAAAGATAATGTTGTACGACTGTACAACCCATCTCATACAAAGAAACTCCATCAAAATCATTCACCTGAACCACGAATCTTTAATTTATTGTAAAAGCTTTACTACTTACAACAAAAACTTTATTCGTATTGTACAATTACAATAGTAGCCTGATCTGAGATGTTCTTTGGATATTGCAATATTCTTTGAACAATATTATTATTATACTTTGAATGTCCTCTATTCAAGACCGCTGTTTGCTCTACCTAAGACACTATTAATAGTGAATATTACTCATATACCACTTATATCTTAGACAACAATACTACTCTTTTCATCCTCATTTAATTATTTAGCCTAACCTTCTTATACAAAATACATCTAACTAAAATGTCACAAAATCATTTTTTTATTGAGTCTTCCTGTTATAAAAATTTTTTTCTTATAAACCCTGTTGAAAATATGTAACTTCCAAATTTATATGGAGTAAATAGTCCACTGAGAGACTGATTACAGTGAAATGTAAACGTGTGCAGTAGATACTAATATCATCTAAATCATTTTTATCTGTATTTCGTTATGTTGTCCCATATCGGTTCTCTTATGTGTTTACATTCCATTGATCTCTATTCATTCAATCACTTGTTTCATTTCACTGAAATCATGAACCGATCAAAGTTAGACCACCATTGAAAACCTGGAATTATTGGACGGGAGTTCTATTCTAGTGCGGGACCTCTCAGTAATTCACATCCACGACCCTGCACGCAGGAATCAAATCCAAAACTTCCGGTCTAGTACGCAAACGCTTAACCTTAAAACTAATGAGCCGGCATTCAGCTGTATTACTGTCTAACGTCAATCAGTTCATGGTATTGTGCGACCATCTTCCATTGTCTTCGATGGGTAACTACCTCACCCCCGATAGGGTTGAATTTCACTGAGCATGGCTTCTCACTGGAACTCTAAGAATTCCCTGTCGAAGCTAGCTACCAGTGAGCACATGGTAATCAACAGTATAGGGTTGTGGAGACTCACTGAAATCATTAACCGATCAGGATTCCAATGGTTGTTTAACATTTATTGGTACATGATTTCAGTAAGACTTAAAAACCTACACTGACACTTGTTTCGTGTGTCATGCAAAAAGTGAGTCACTTGGAACTGGTTTTATACATCAATTTAATTGCCTGTAATATAGTCATCAGTGAATATATCAGATAAACCTTAACTTTACGAAGAACAAAACTCACTCACGGACGTTGGTTAGTAGTGGAATCCAGGACTCGCATCTCGTCCTATTATGGACTCGTCAGATGGATTAATGTTCACTCTGAGAATCAAACCCATCACCGTACTCTTCAAACGCCATCGCGTTTTTTCACTTAACTTCTGATAACTATTAACTTGTGCATTTCTAGCCATCATCCATTCCTCCTTATAATGCTTGTGACTTAAGTTAATCATCACAGGATGCACATATCCTAATAAGAGACTGATCGATTACAGTCCTAAACATCAATGATCAGGATACATATGATGGCAGCAAGGAAAATCTAATCAATTGCAATTTTTTAACATCATCAATGGAAAAATACATTTTTTGGAAAATAAATATATTGGGCAACTAAGAGGGTCAAAATTTTTATAAAGTCAATCAAATTAAGAGTAAGAATGCCACTCACCATTGAATTTGTCATTTATTGAATACTTCTTGGTTTTCAATGATTTTTTAACTAAACTTACAACAATCAATGTCTTCTAACAAATACTACTTGAATGTTATAATAATAAAATGAATACAGGTAATGGTTGTTTATTAAGGAAAAAATACAAACATATAAATCTTACAATTTAATTTTAATTAGTAAATAATATATGCTCATCATCATTTGATTTGTTCATATAATGCATACATAACTTTCAATGTTCCTAGTTATGATTGATAAGTATTAACCATTATGTTAATATCTATATTGATTTATATTATTATTTTCTAATTTATGGAAGATATGTAACATAATGTTTATTCTTTCTTCTATCACTATCAATAACTGTATGATATTTTTTAGTTCCACGACCGAATTTCGACTTGCCAGAACGTTTCATTCTACCATAGATATCATAATTCGAATAGCTTCTAATTTTACCTTCTGGATCTTGTTTACCACTATGATGATATGAGATTGATTCTTCATAATCTGTTGTTTGTAAAGTATCACCAAATAGAATTATATCATCTTGTGGTTTATTTTCCTCATTATAATCATTATAATTTTGCTTTGATGAATATTTATATGAGTTATAATTATTGTTATTAGTAATACTATTATAAAGTGTTTTGGCATGATTATTATTTTTACCATGGTTATAATTTATTGATGAATACTTTTCTATTGGTTTATAATTCACTTTTCTATTATATGAATGATAATTTGAAGGGTTATAATTCGATGGTTTACTTGATTCAGTATAATAATTATTATCATTTTTATTATAATCATGAATTTTCAAATTTTTATAACCATGAGGATATTCTGTATTTGTTTTTGGATGAATTTCTTTAAAATTTCCATCTTGACTTTTTTTCGCTGATTTACTTGAGAAATATGGATTATATTGACCATGTTTAAGTTGAATTGTACGAAGAGTATAATACTTTTGTTTTAAATTTTTCGGATAAAATACATATAATTTTTCATCAATTGGAATATAATCTTTTAAATAGACTAAACTATGCGGTACATACTTTTGATGTTTATATGATGTTGTAGGTAGATTATAATAATCACGATTATCTACATTATTCTCAGCATTATATGTATCATAGTTATTGTGGTGGTTATCTTCATAATTGTCTTCATTCCTGTAATAATTTTTTTCAGAATAATCATTATATTGACCTTCAGTAGCATGTCTTCCAACCGTTCTTGTTTGATAATTAACTGATACATCTTGTCTTGGATAATATTCATCATATTGAGCGTTATAATCATGACCTGCATAATCATTATATGTACCACTGTATTCAACTGGTCCATAGTATTGACCACTGTCATCATAGTTAACCTGATAATTTGAAGTAGGCAAATAGTTCAAATTAGTTTCAGTGTCTACATACTCGACACCATTATTACTAATATAATCGTCATCAACAACATATTCATAAGGTGTTACTTGATAAGCGTCATATGTTTCACCGGTTCCTTCATAATATGGCTGTTCACCTGAAATAATATCCTCTTCAGTAGTATAATAAGTTAAAGTATTTGGTAAGTATTGTTGATATCCACTATTGTCTTGTGACATTAACATAATATATCCTAAACATTGTGATCGAATAATTAAAAAAATGATTAATATTAATTGTCTTATATTTAACAATTTCATTTAGACAAACGTTTTGTTGTTACTGTCTATAAGAAAAAATATATTGTATATTTACGTGTAAAATCATGAATAACTCTTGTTTTATATTACTTTTAACAAGTTTGCTTAAATTAGTCAATAACTTCTTCGATTAGTATACAAATACGTAATTATATTCTTAGGATTTACGCAACTTATTATTATTATTATTATTTACTTCATATATTCATTAACATTTTCTATCCTCCTCCTCCTTATACTTAAAGTACAGTGCATACTACTTTATCGGTTTATCAATTCTAACGTACTTTGTTATTATTACATAATTCATTTATTATAATCTATTCATTATATAAATTGAATAGAGTGCATTGAAAACTTCAGCTTATTTGAAAAAAGAAAATAAATTCTTTACAGAAATCATTGTCAAAATTATATTCAGTTTTTACAAATATTTTAACTATTCAACAATCATAGGCTATTGAATTTCCAATTTTTTTTAATCATAATTG